TATTGTCCATCTTCTGGACAGACAGCTTACAGTGAAACTTAAATTAAAGTTGTTGCTTTTTCTTTGACACTGATATGCTTTTTCTTTGACCTTGGAATGCAGCCGATGACGCGGAAGACTCAAATGTTGTGGGTGCCCCTATGTCTTTGCCCCTTGTGGGCCTCCCTGACCCTAACCATCCCGACAGTCAAGTGGGCTCCATTCGTGAGGACGATGGAAGCCCACAGCAACTCGCAAATTATATCCACGAATCATGGCAACCAGACGAAATAAGATATAGAGGTGCTGTTCAATACCAAGGTAGTACCCCACCTAGTTACCGTGGAAACAGCATTCAAGGTCGCAGATTTGCAGGTACCTTGGATGTCTTTGAACCAGCTATCGTGATCACAGATCGAAAATTATTGTGTATGTTTATTTCAATTCTAGTTTGGAAAGTTTTGTATTATAAATGTTTTGAATCCTTGTCAACAATTGTCATATTGTTTCCTTGACAATTGCTGTCATGTCTTTCCGTCGGTTGTCATGACGATGGTTCTCTGGGGTGATTCTCTCTGCCAGCATGTCCCTCTTACATGTGTACATGTGCTTGCTGTGTTTTGTTACTTTAGAAGTAGATGTATTAGAAATCAAAAATTATTTTGTGACTTGATGTTTGTCATTCTATGTATTAAATTTTTTTAAACTTGCTTTTTATCATAATTTGAATTTTCAATTACTTTGTTTCTTATTTGGAGTACCACGTGCTACACAACATGAAGCAAAAGAAGTTTTCTCTCAATCAGCTAGATTTTATATCTAATATTCAAGTATTTTATTCTTTTTTTGACATATTAAAAGATATATTTACAGATAGATTGGCTCAATATTATCTAAATAATTGTTTTTATCAATTTACATTTACAGGAGTTATTTTTAGATACCGTACATATTTGTTGATATACAGAAATCGGTCACTACCGTACTGGTTTGAATGAGACACTTGTATATTTTCCCATTAATATGTTGTTTACTTTTTAAGCAAACAAAGACGAGATCGGTGAAATGACTTCATCTTTAGCCATCTTGTGTATTAAAGTGAACGGTAAAACTCAGAATGCAATATGTCCGAATGTAACATATATTTCATGTATTTATGTTCACTTGCATATCATGGAGAATTTTTCCTCGATGAAATTTGATTCTATTACGAAATTCATTTCTAAAACAGAAAATTTATTTTTTTGAATTTTTTAATGCAATGTAGTCAATACAGAATAAAACTGTGCTGAACAAAGTGATAATACAATGTTGTAGAAATCAATGAAAAACCAATTAAAAATAATCAGCTAATTAAAATTTTCATGATAAATCTGTATATTCTGTTGCCCACTCATTACATAAAGTTTGAAATCTGTGTGGAAAATTCTCCGGAAAAAAAAATACTGTTGCAAATAGGATATTAATAAACCCTCTGATAATTAATTAAAAATTTTACAGCAGAATGTCAAATAAAAAAAATGTCTGTTCTCATTAAATTTCCACCCTTCTCCTTTACTTGCTGCCTGTGCTCAATTTGTTCATTTTTGTCCTGCAACAAAATTTAAAATATATCTTTAATGATTTGTATATGTAGTTTTAGTTGTTATGTTTTTTAATTGTTTAATGTTTATTTGATTAATGGTTGCTGTGTGTAATTTTTATGATTTATATACTGTGTTCTATATATACACTTAGGAGTAGATCTGATCTATTTTGTAAGTTTTGCATATCTAACTTTGATGCATTTTGAGGTTCTAACGATATGGATCAATTATGCACATTTTAAGGCTCAGGGAGATAAGATTTTCAGTAAAATTTATTGCTCTTTCAGGAAGAAATACAATTTCTTACTTCAATTTTTTTTTAAGTGTTGACTGATTACAGCTCATTTTTAAGAGAATGAGGTGATAAATGCCCTAGTTTGGGGATGTACAATGTAGGTCAGTTTCGTTATTGATATTGGCTGAGTAGATTGGACTGAGAATATTTTGGTATTTTTCCAACTTTCAGATATATTGCTTTAGCGAGATGAAAAAATTGATTCTTGCTTCAAGACTGGGTCTAATTCAGGGATAAGCCCCAGGCCCATATCTTTCCCCTTTTAAGTGCATTATATAGTCACTTGAACTCTTTAATTGGAGACCTATACCCTTCGTCCTCCTATTCAAAATACGAAAGAGTATATGAAAACAGTCTGATAAAAAACTAAGAATGGTTCACTAATTTTAAAAACTGCAGATATTTACTCTTCTTTTACACTTTTAGTAGGCAATATTAGAACTGAGAATTATAACTATCATAATTATATAAAGTGGAAGATATCTACCATTCAAGTAGATGTATTAGAACTGAGGATTATAACTACTCCAAGTGGAAGATATTTACCACTCAAGTAGATGTATTAGAACTGAGAATTATAACTACTCAAAGTGGAAGATATTTACCACTCAAATAGATGTATTAGAACTGAGAATTATAACTACTCAAAGTGGAAGATATTTACCACTCAAGTAGATGTATTAGAACTGAGAATTATAACTACTCAAAGTGGAAGATATTTACCACTCAAGTAGATGTATTAGAACTGAGAATTATAACTGCTCAAAGTGGAAGATATTTACCACTCAAGTAGATGTATTAGAACTGAGAATTATAACTACTCAAAGTGGAAGATATTTACCACTCAAGTAGATGTATTAGAACTGAGAATTATAACTACTCGAAGATATTTACCACTCAAGTAGATGTATTAGAACTGAGAATTATAACTACTCAAAGTGGAAGATATTTACCACTCAAGTAGATGTATTAGAACTGAGAATTATAACTACTCAAAGTGGAAGATATTTACCACTCAAGTAGATGTATTAGAACTGAGAATTATAACTACTCAAAGTGGAAGATATTTACCACTCAAGTAGATGTATTAGAACTGAGAATTATAACTACTCAAAGTGGAAGATATTTACCACTCAAGTAGATGTATTAGAACTGAGAATTATAACTACTCAAAGTGGAAGATATTTACCACTCAAGTAGATGTATTAGAACTGAGAATTATAACTACTCAAAGTTGAGGTATCAACCATTTAAGAAGATATGATAGGGCTGAGAATTAAAACTATACTCAACTATTCAACTTAATACATCACAATTTTCACTTTTCAAATTTAAACAGCTGCCACTTAGATTAAACCTAGGAATTTTGTACAGATTTCATTAAAGTCATGAATATTTAACTTGAATGTAATAGCCATTTAAATCAAAGATTTCTGTTTGATTTCTAATCACAGCTGGAGACAAAATTTTCTGTTCGGATTTACAGGCATTTACTCTTGAGAAAGAAAAGCTTAAAGTGATTTGGAAGTTGAGACCTTTACAGGAGGTTTCTTGTGTGTAAAGTTGCCTTGTTGGAACATTGTCTGTGTTTGACAGATAAACATCCTAAAATCAATGTATCGCCCATTAGAAGTAACGTTGGTAGTCTCGGCGAAACACCGCTTGATCGCTCGATGGACGAAGCTAGTAATTGAAGGAACAATGTCGCTCTGGTTGGTATTATTATAGGTGGGATGGCAGAATAGTTGTTTTTGGTATCAGAACTGACCGGGATCTTTTTGGAAATGGTTTCTCATTTTAAGGTTCTGATGGGACGTACTTTTTGCATTTTGGGATTGTATTTATAGTGCTATGATTGCACATCTTGCGAAAGTCATTTTTTGCTTTGCTTAGTTACTTTTTGCATGACACAAGCCATGTTTTAATTTTATATTAAATAGTAAGCATGCTTAAGACATGGCATGTTTACATACTGTTTTGGTCAGTCTTGTTGACTTATTTTTTAATGTTTATTAAAAATCCCTGATGCAAGTTGATGTTCAGGCTTAAATGCTGGCAGAATTTTACACATTTTATCTACTGTTAATTCTAACATGATTTTTTATACATTTACATGTGATATTCAATTGACTAAGAATAAATTATCAATTTTTAATATTTTATTAAAATCAAAGAATAATTATAAGAAGTTGATATATCAAATTATAATTGGTCTGTGTGGAAATATTGATGGCACATTTTAGTGTTTTATCTTAATTTTCAGAATATTGATATTTCACTTTGCCCATGATAATATTTCTCTCTCCAATGACTGGCAAAGAGAGGAGTTTGTATATATTGAATCCAAGTCACAACTAAAGTATACTTGTTTAATTTTGTAGTTCAAAGTTTTGTGCAATTTATAGTGTTACACTTGGTCATCATCATAATATCCTTCCACTCATTTACACAATAGATACAGACATAGAGATGTAATATTTGTACGTAAATGTATGATGGTAATATGGAGGTCTAGTTCTGATTCGGAAATGGTCAATTTATTTTTTCCAAAGTTGAAATATTCATAAAAACATAAGGTGAAGATTGTTTAAATCCAGTGGGAATTTTAAAACACGTCTTTATACAATCAGAAACACTAGAACTTGATTCCAACTTTTCCTTGGTTGGTGGTGGGATATTCGTGTTTCTGACACATCTAGATCTAAAAAGACATAAGTATTGTTTGTCATAATTCATCGAAGAATTTCATCATTAATCGTTTTTTTCATAATTTATCAGAGTGTTTCATCATTAATCATTGTAAGCAATTTAATTACCAACCTTTCATAATTATATGCTGTGATGAGACATGACAGATTTAACAACTCAATCCAGTTAGTGTTTATAGGTTTCAGTGTTCATTAGGGTGTACATAGATCAGAGTAATGTTCACACAACTGCCAATGACTAGAAGTGTATGCTTTTATGTTGATTTGTGCAGAAAAGGTATATTTTGCAGTCCATTCAATATCTTAACAAGTGATATTAAAAAAAAAAAAAAAATCAACATTTTCCTTCTCAAAGTATTTTTTAAATGCAGTGTTTTTTAAACATGTTTTTTACATAGATTATTTTCCACACTTGGTCTTGTATTTTTGTAGCCATTTCGGAATGTCGCAGAGATAACGGCGGCTGTCAGCATAACTGTCAGGATGGTTATGATGGCAATCACTATTGTAGCTGTCGTAGTGGCTACATTATCAATTCTGATGGAAAGACCTGCGACAGTAAGATATCTTAATTTTACTCAAAGGTGTTGTGTGAATTAAACAAAATCTGTTTTTTTTTAAATGCATATCACTTTTTGATATCAATGACTGCATTTGTTTAAGGTGAAGATTCAGAACGATTTTTGTAAAAATTAAAAAGTGGTATGTGATTCTTCGTCTGAAAAAAACTTACATCTATAAACCATATTCCTTTTGTGTGGGATTTAATTTGACAATCATAGCTAATTCCAAGTGTGGATCGCTTTGTGTGTTTAATTCTGAGGAGTCCTTCTTTTGCGGTAAGTGCCAGGTCGATCAGGTGTTTGACTAGGTCACCTGCATACAAAGCCATACAAGCACTTGAATAACTGAGACCAACCTTCATGTTGTTATCAAAACAGAGACAGATAACACCTTGTTCATTTGGAATTTCATTAAACTGATTTATTAATGTTAAGAGTTGGTCAATCTGGAAAAGGGAAAAGGCACAACCTTGTAATAAATATATTGTCTTATTTTTTTATTCCTTCAATCAACCGTCAAAAGCTTACAAGTATGCTGCTAGATTGATTTTAGAGAAATCATACGATGCTCCCTCAGCAGAATTGTTTGAAAGATTGAAATGGATGCCAATTAAAAAACATTTTAATTTAAAAAAAATAGGTATGACATAATAAATGTATAAATGGTATGGTACCACAATATCTTTCAAGTGATTGGATTTTGGCTGGAAATGTTCATCTACGATCTACAAGGCACATGCTATGTAGCTACATGTAGTAAAATTTTATTGTTTCCAAAACACAGGACAAATTCTAAATCAAAACATTTTAATGTATCTGGCTGTCAGGAATGGAACAAGCTTCCAAAGAAAATTACAACTGAAACATTATGTGTTTAAACAAAAACTAATGTGCTGAACTCTTAACAAACTAATTTTTAGGTTGTCTTTCCAATACCAGTAATGTTTTACTGTATGCTATATTAGCGTATAACTATGTCAGTTTTTATGCTTTACTATATTAGTATGTATGTATAAGAGACAAGTTATCCTATCATGATAAACCTATTTGCATGAACTTTTGTGCATTCTGAGATATTTTTAATTATGTATCATTGTATGAAAATCTTATAATTATGTTGTGGATAATCATGTATTTTAACATATACCTTGCTTTACTAACAAGAGGACAGAGTGGAAGCCTTGGCTTAACAGGTTCTGAAATACTCATAACGTAAAATCTATTATTATTTTAATTATTATTATTATTATTATTATCTCCCCTTATCTCCAAATTCGGTCTCAGCAAGAAGTCTATCATGTTACTGACTATGTCCTGTTATTTTACAGTGGAGGACCCATGCCGAGAGAGAAACGGAGACTGTGCACAGAAATGCTTGAATGATAGAGGAAGGGCAGTGTGTCGATGTAATGTAGGCTACAAACTGACCCAGAATGGCCGTGACTGTATAGGTTAATAATATTTTAAAATTGAATTTTTAAGAATAATATGTTTCAGGATGTCTGAGTTTTCAGGAAAATTATGACAAGGATATATCTGAGAAACTAAATGCTTTGAGATGATAACAAAATCTTACCGAGGCAGAAGTGGTTTACTTTTCAATGCCACATAAACGTATCGACACAAAATCGACACAAAAAATAAAAGTAAGGACACAAAAGAAATTCTCTCAAGATCAGAAATGACACAAAAGAAATTCTCCCAATTAAGGACACAGTTAAAATTAATATCTATATTTACTTTGTCATTTGCAGATATCGATGAATGTGAAGCAAACAATGGAGGTTGTACGCAAGCTTGTATCAACACCCAGTCATCATTTACCTGTACTTGTACACCTGGTTACCAGCTCGGGGTCGATGGACGCTCCTGCTACAGTAAGTGTCTTCTCTGTTCTCGTATATCCCAACTCGTGCTTCACTCAGTTTTTCGCAGGTCATCAATTATCACTTCCTTTTTCAAGTAATTTCCTTTTCCTAGCATACATAATGATTGGTCAGTCTTGATGGCTTATTTATCATAAATTAAAGACATTATTTGTAAGGGAGCATACATCTTTAGGACAAATTAAACAATGTATATATTAAGCTGTGACATTTATCATACAAATTTCCATCAGGCTTTTAATATAAAATATATAATATATAATATAAAATGTTTAAATATTGTATTGTCTGAAATGTCAACAATCAGATTCAAATAATTTGTAAGATCATTATTTGTAGTTTGTTAATGTAAAATTTAAATGGTCAAAGGGAGATAACTCCTGAGATTTTGAACTTGCTCATTATGTATGTACAATCTCTATATTCACAATATTTATGATATAGATATATATGTATGTGTGCTGTGGACCACTTTCAAAATTTCTGAGAGTTTTATTTAGTTCAAGCCTAAAGGTTAGAGAAAAATTCAATATGATGTACAAGATATGGAGAATATTACATTAAACATCCAGTATTAGGTAATAGTGATATCCTTGCGATGATTTCTCTGTCTTTTTTCCTGTTTCCATTTTAACCATTGCTCCTAATGAAGGTGCCACTTGTGTCTACGGTAGGTATTGCTGTTGTCACCTCATGCCTCCATCATCACTAGACCTGACCCTGGCACAACCTCTTATCTCCACTGATTGTCCCCTTAAATCTGAGTCACTTTCCTATTAATGGCTCCTGCAAAAAAATCTGATTTTTTATTTTGAGCGACTTTCTCAATTTGTGCTCTTTGTTAGGCACATAGTTTGATATACAAAAGATGGTGTTGATGTCTTTTTTTCAGAAGAAGTATTAGTTATCTTAATTTTAACTTCGTTTAACCAAATTTATCTAGTAACAAGCCCAGTGACCACATTCTGACAGGAATTTACAGGATTGTAATTATTATTATAATTTCAGGACAATATGCGGGTGGGCCAACAAACAATTTTAGACGCAAAGTCATGGATGAGCTTATTTCAGGACAATAAGCCTGAAGGCCAAATACAAATTTAGATTTAAAGTCAGGGGTGGGCTTATTTCAGGACAATACGCATGACGACCAACATACAAATTCTGATTGGAAGTTAGGGTTGGGCTTATTTCGGGATAATGAAACATTTGTTTGTAGTTGTACTGAACTAAATGTAAATGCTAATATCAGGCATGGGCTTGTTTCCTGATAAATGTGGTATAATTATACTGATATTAGAGACCCATTTCATGTACAATTTTATTTTGATTTTACAAAATTGGATGTTTAATTAGATTTTAATCATCCATTTTATTTGAGTACATTTTCATCCTATTGTATATTCTATACTTTCTCTGTTTTGTTGGTACTTTAGATGTCTTTGTGTAACTGTGTAGTCTCTGTGTTCTTTTATTTCATTTTAGAAGATGATTTTCTCTCTTATTTTGTCATTGATCTTTTAATGATTTAACACTTTGATAGTAAATTTTCTATATTTACTCTGAATTAATGACCTGAAGGTCTTTATGTGCCATGTTTTATTCTTTGGGAGATATCCATTCTCATATTATTCAAACTGGAGCTGATATGAAAATCTAAATGAAATGATAAGGCAATCAAAAAATGCCAGGTCATGGTGTAACCCCAAGGAAAACTGAAACTAGAAGATCTTGCAGGATTTGGAAGGGAAGTCCTACCCAAGAAAATTGAAACTATAAGATATTTTAGGGTTTGGAGGAAATCCCAAAAAATATAAATGCATGAGTATGATCTTGCAGGGTTTAGAAGGGAAGTTCTATCCAAGAAAAGCAAAACTTTAAGATATTTTAGGGTTTGGAGGAAATCTACAAAAATATAACTGCTTGTTTATGATCTTTCAGGGTTAGGAAGCTGACAGATAGAACTGTCTACAATTATTGAAAAATGTTTCTTATTGTTTCTCATTGCTGTGGACTGGTGTTGTTTTAGAACTCCTTATACTTAAGGATGGGGAAAAAAAGGGAATGCATGTGTCTTCTCTCCTGCCAGAAACATTGATACATTCTTAAAGATGATACATATATTCAAATTTAATGTAATTTAATATGATTTGTATATAATTTTTATTTTTTGAACATTAAATGGACATCTCGGAGAATTGAAACTTACATTATGTATATATATATTTAGTTATATACATATTACATATGTAATTGATGGTTTTTACATATTTGGTATAATGTTAATTTCATGAATGATAATTTGAGGTTTTTCTTGTAAAAAAAACAATTTTCATGATGTAATACTTACCATAACTTTAGTATTCACTTTGTCCACTAATTTTTGTAGTGGAAGATATGCATACAAAGGTGATGGTAATTATTACTGAAATGAAATTAATATGCCAACACAATGTCTATTACATGTAAAACATGTCTTCTATTCCAGCATCTTCCAACTTAAAACTGGATGTGTTACATTTTATATGCTTGGATTTTTTTTCAGGATACCACTAGGAATATATTCTGCTTTAGACTTAATGATTTACCTATCATATGTTAAAATATATTCTCTATGTATCATAATTGATTTTGTTTTTCAGGCAATACTTTGTCATTCATTTTTCCAAATGTTACCTGTACCCTTACAATTGAAGAAATGAAAATATGATAATTAAGAAAGTCAGAAATTGTTCAATGAAAAATTGATAAGTTCCTTTGTACAGAAAGTATGAGTTGAATTCCTCTGTATTTAGTGATGTTGTAATTAACTGTCTCAACATTATGATATATGTTGTTACATCAGCTGTAATGAAGAGTATTATAATGTTAAATGTAATAAGTCAGTGTTCACAAAACTTCTGTTTAGAGAGACCTGTATTCTTTGTGAAAAAAGGTTGTTGGAAGGTGGTAGCCATTTCTAAAATAAATCTTTCTTTTGCTTCTTATATATATAAGCAATGCCTAATCTTTGCATTGAATTTACATATTTATGAATATTCATATGTATTTCCAAATTTGAAAATCCAACTTGAACTTGAACAGATTGTTGCTATATGCATGATATTGTCAAAATTTAGGTCATCACTTGAGAGCTTATTCATTATATTGTTATAACATCAAGTTTGTTTTTATAAGATGTCTGTATAAATGACAACAATCAATCACTCAAACAATCAATCAATCAATCAATCAATCAATCAATCAATCAATCAATCAATCAATCAATCAATTAATCAATCAATCAATTAATCAATTAATCAATCATTCAAATCAATTTCTTGATTGATTTAATTTGACTTAATCAATAATTAATCAAATTATCAAGTCAACACAACTAACGGATGATTAGATAAGTTTTCCCCATTGTATTTATTTATTGTTGTGAATTTGGCATTCCTGTCGCTCACTCAGAGGTTCGGAAGGCTAACCAGGTCACAGGTCAAGGTAATTAGGCCTTATTTGTATTCTAATCAATGTTGTGTATTTGTTTTGTCCTGTATTCTGTGGGATATTTTTTGGTAACTATACACGTGCAGCATTTCTTTCATTTATATATATCTGTCTTTATTGATACGTTAAACTATGTAGTTTACTGAAGATGTATACTATTTAATTGTAGACAATAGATATGTCTTTATCATTATGTAATTAACATGTTTGCCCTTTAATAAGCCCAGACAGCTAAAATGCTACCTCAGAATAAGTGTCAGGGGGTGGGCTTATTACAGGACAATGAGATAGCTTTTATTGCTTATTCAACATCATTGACAGGCTTATTATCAGATAAATCTGCTGATATTAATACTACAATATTTTGGTTCAAAGTATATGTAAAAAAGAGAATATAGTAAGATTTTTATGAAGTAAGTTCTTATTTGAAGTTGAATCAACCGTATTTTGAAAAATCATTTTGAAAGTAATAGAAAATTTTTAACGAAAATTGCGAAAAAACAAAAATGATATTTTTGAATAAGTGTGAGTAGATTAAAACCATACTGATTAATCACTGTTGAGTTTATTACCAGTGAGAATGTTAAACTGAGAGAAGTTACAGTTATCTAATGGTGGAGGAATTGAGAAAGATAAAAACTGTTTAAATTATTTGTAATTTTGATTTTCTAGTCAGTGTATTCAGTGTTCATCTTGATAATGTCAGAATTTTTAATCTAACATATCATGAATTAAATTATACAGAATTTGTGATTTGCAGTTATAGGAATACTTTCAGAAATTGCATTTTACATTTTTCAAGAAGCGAAATTTTGAAATTAAGGATATTGATCTCACAGTTTTATGGGAAAGGGGGTGGGGAGTAGGTATGGGGGTGGGAGGGGGTGTTGGGGGGGTGGGGGGTTGGGAGGTGGGGGGCATTGTTACCCATATCTGGTTGGTCTCATTACATTTTTGTTGCATTCCAAATCATTGTCATAATCTAACAGAACTCTCCACAGGTTTAGCTCATATTTACTCAGTATCAACATCAAGTTATACATCTACACCTTATTATCTTAAGGTGGTCATAGGTCAAGGTTTAAAGGTCTAAAGTCACATTTGACAACTTCTTCATCAAACAATTGTATACGTATAGAGACTAGCCATTTTCTTTGTGATTCTGACATTATTGAGATGTATCATTATACAGAGAACCCCTCTACACAGTACTCAGCACTCTTTGTTTTTCTCTATTTAGTTTTCATCCATACCGGAAATTGTGTTTACTGTAAGGCATTTCACCTGGCCATGAAATGTTGTCCTTGTTGCAATCATTGTGATGTGAATGCCACGGAACCTCTCTAATTTTTATAACCACTACATTTTACATGTGATTTTAGAAGGGTAGGAGACTTGAAGGACATGTAGTGTTGAATCTGGTCATATGTACGATCTTAAATCTTGTCATCAGCCACCTGTTTTCCCAGTTGTCTCACTATCCAGCCTGATCATGTTGTTCTATTTTTTCGGGAAAAAATGTTTTCTTTCCAAAATGCCTATCTTAGCTTAGTTCCAGATACCATGCTACTCTCATCAGTAAATCCTTATTACAGCAAGGAAATTTCTTTGAATTCACCTGAGAAAGAAGATTCCAAGCTGATGGCTTGATGAAATGAACACAACTACATGTATATACAAAAGACTAAGTTGTAGCACTCATTTGGGAAAAGTGACACAAAATTTCTTCAAGGTAGATAACTCTAACAATGAAGATAACATTGAAGGGAGATAACTCTAACTTTGAATTGAGATAAATCATGGTTTGGAAGGAGTTAATTCTGAAGATGAATGCAGATATTTGCAACATTGAATGCAGACAGTTGTAAGATTGAGGGGAGGTAACTCTAACATTGAAGGCAGGGAGATAACTCTGACATTGAATGGAGGGAGATAACTGCTACATTGAGGAGAGATCAAGCCTTCAAATGGAAATATAAGAATATAATTTTGTCTCCTTGTACAGTAATAAAAGTCTTTATGAATCACTGAAAGGAAACATCTGTTGTTTAAAGGAGTAAAGCAGAAGGATTTTCGCATGTAAAATGTGGTAAAAACACAGATCCCTGCAATTTGAGACCTAAGAAGTTTCCAGAATGTCAGAAGTTAATCAAAATTATATTTAGACTCAAAAGAATTATTCATTGTTTTACAAATTGTATTGTTTAGAGGGGTTTCAAAGTTTGTGTCTGGTTTTTAAGTTGTTCAGTAGCGGAATGCATGATTAGCTATGATTTCAGTTTAGTTTAACTATTTTTCTTCTCTCTGTAAACACTGCAATATTCTTATATCTTTATTTCTGATGAAGTTTGTTTAAAGTTTTCTTTTAAGAGTTTTGTACACAGCAGAATGTTTGTAATGTTGTGTAGTGGATTTTGTCAAACAAGTGTGGTGAAAACATTCTGTCAGACATTCTAGCATGCATATGTTACATGTGTGCTTATTATTTTTGTAAATTTTTTATATAATGAAATCAGTTTTTGATCCATAAAAGGAAGCGTGAACTGTATGCAAGATATTCAAAGACAATGGAATGGTCTTCATCTCCCATGGAAGATACAGAAATTTGTGTGTGGGAATAGGTTTACCAAGAATTGAAATATCTATTGTCAGAAAATTTAAGACAACTGCTTGAGTTAAAATTGATATGTAATCGAAGTCTCTGATTTGCTGATAAAACTTGATAAACTCTGTATGAATATGTATTCTGCAGAATTTATTCTGTTTTTGTACAGGTATTTTATATAGAATACCATCCACTGTTCTTGTAGCGTAAACATAGCAAATGCGTATATTTATGACATAAACTGATTTTTCTTTCAGTGTAATTTTGTTAATGTTAAAATGCTTACGGTCATGCATGAAATGAACAAGGCATGCTGTGAATATATTTCTGTAAAACTTTAATTCCAATGAATTTTAGAAGTCTTATACGTACTGGTATGAAGTGCACAGCGGTATGGTAGATATAATGTAGACATTTGAGAGAATCTTCATTGGCTACGTATGATCTGGGTTGTTTACAAATCCAAGTTATGTAATAATTTTTACAATATTGAAAAGGTCGGAGGTTGGATTGTGTAGCAGCATACTAAATAAGTATGTTATTATAACTTGGATATATTAGCTGAAAACTAATGCCTGATTTTTATTTTTATAACAGGATTTTTGTTTACTTACTTTTGTTATAGGTACATGTACACAAGATATTATAAAATTTTCAGCAACGTCCACCAAGTTTAAAATGGCAAAATTATACGTTACACGGGAATTTTAAGATGGTGGCCATTGGATGTTCTATTACGAATTTCATTCCATTTGTTCTGATGCTGATTTGTAATTTGTATCTGCCAGGGATTCAAATGGAGGTCGTGGACAGTTGTATGATAAACAATGGCGGATGTGCGCACATTTGTCGTCACGGTCCAGGAGGACGAATCTGTAGCTGTCGCCATGGATATATACTTCAAGCAGATGAGATGTCCTGTGCAGGTAAGAAATATTAGGAAGTTGCCTCAGTGATTCATCTAATTAAATTTGGAACTTACGAAATAATTTACATTGGTAATTTGTATGGAAATTATTTCTTATGCTGCTACGTTCTAAGGTCCAGAGGCATTACTGAAACTACTATATGCTGCATTATACCCATGTTCATCTCAATGTCAGAACACTTCGGTTTGGCTACTTTGAGTTAAGGTCACCTTTTAAGGTCAGATACCAAATGCTGAAAAAGAGTGACCTTTAAGGTCAGATGTCAAATCCTGACAAAGAGTGACCTTTAAGGTCAGATGCCAAATCCTGACAAAGAGTGACCTTTAAGGTCAGATGCCAAATCCTGACAAAGAGTGACCTTTGAGGTCAGATGCCAAATTTGGACAAAGAACACTTAAGCTTAGCTAATTTCTTTATTATTCATTATCCTAAACAGTAGGCCATTTGTATCTTTTGCATCAATTAGGTAAAGATCGTGGAATAAGATCAGATTTGAAATTTCATCAGAGGAAACTCTGTCTTAATTCTGATAGACATCAGTGTTGTTGTGGGTAAACCTGAACCATGATAAAAATTTCACATAAATTGTTGTAGTAGAAGTGTTTTATGTCAGTTTTAGAACTTTATCAAAGGTCAAGGTCATCATTGAAATATTTTGCTTAATGGCTTCCTTATTTGTGTAATCGTTATTCGTTAAACAGTCTTCCATTATTTGTGTATTTCTTTAAATGTTTGTCATTTGTTGCAGATGCAAATGAGTGTGAGCTGGGAGAGGCATGCTGTGTACAGTTATGTACCAACAACCCTGGAGGCTACACCTGTGGCTGTCGGCCGGGTTTCGTCCTCAACAGGGATGCCTGCGCCTGCGATGGTAAGTCTCGTCCTTCACTGATAATTAATTATGATCATGTGATTGATTAGAATGAATGGTGTTACAATTTTCCACCAGATAATGTCAGCCAGGAGTTTATTATTTATATAATTTGAGAAAAATAGTGATAGAAGTTGGAACATGGTGATGATGATGAACTATAAATGATAGTTACATGTACAGCTATATACAAGAGTCTAGATACTATTGTAAATCACAGACTATCAGTCATCATCATGGATTTATCATTCTCTAACCTTTCCCCCTGAAGTCATGTTTTTAGTAAGTCTACACATGTATATACAGTGTATTTAGTTTGAATGGGTTTATGTGTAATACAGCCTTTTTTGGACAGAGCCATTTGGATTTAGGTATTTTTACAAGTGTGTTTACATGAAGACTCATCAATGGCGATTTTTCCATGTTGCTTTCTTGGTGATAAGTGTGTAGTACATTTCATATGAAATTTTTAGTTACCATGTGAAACCACTTCTTAAATCCTATTACATATATTGTATAACTGCTGTCTTAGAAATATGGCTATTTTGGGTTACAACTAGACAAATGAAATTTATCTACTCTCCTGTAAAGGAAATTTTGTCATGTGTCAAAGAAATTTTTCATCTTTTTATCAATTTTCTCTGCATGTGGTATTGTCTGAATATACCCTGTCACCTGACACACGTGTTTATCCCTTCTCCTGCCTCCTCTTTTCACTCCATCACTCAGTATACCCTCTAAAACGCCCATCAAACATTTTACCATGAATTTGAATAAAACATTTTGAATGAGATTTGAATGTAAACTTCATATTTTTGACTTTGCATTGTTCAATCTTTGAAAAGTGAAGCCTTGACTTTGTATTTTAATTTGTACTTTAAGAAATTTAAAATTTAAAATTTTTAAGTTGAGTTTAAAAAACAAGTTTGTGAAAACTTCAAATCACATTTATTTTATTCATTAAGGTTTTGAAATATAGTAAAATTTTCCGTTTATGAATCGAAACAATAATATATGCTAAACATTCCATGAGATTTCAGTTAAACTTTTAAGAAGAAACAAACAGAGAGTTGTACTTTATGGAGTCGGCAATCCCTTACAAAGACAAGGTTTCACAAATATGCTACATTTTTTTCTTAACATTTGTTATGACCTGTTGTGTTGTTTGAGACTGAGCACTGAGGGTTATCTCCCTTATCGCTGTTGTGATTTATTTTTTTTTATTTTACGTTGTTGGTGTACGTCTTGTCACTCTATAGATATTCAAGAATGTTTAACTGACAATGGTGGATGTGAACAGAAATGTGTCAACTCGGAGGGATCGTTCGCTTGTGTGTGTGATAAGCCCGGCTATCGACTGGCACCCGATGGACGACGGTGTCTGGGTAAGGTCATGCAAGGTCAACATGGCAAAAAAATATTACGTTAAAATGTTAACATCCCTGAAATGTTTTAAAACTTTATTTCAGAAATTTATCAAACAATTTAAAGAAGATTAAGACTGAAGATTTTCCAAAAGAGTTTTTTTCTTTTTTTTTCTCGGATTGTATTGAATGTAGAACATTGTACGAAATTGTATCAAAACTATCATATTGTAGATAAGTATATATATATATATATATATATGTTTTATTTTTTTTTCAGTAGTATAGTAGAAATATATACATGTGTATAGAACATGTAGTTTTACTTTAATAGTGATGTAGACTCAGGCCATATATATACATATGTACATACTGGGTACCTAAAATGTAGTTTGTTCAATTTATTTTCTGATTATTGTGTATCAACAGGCTTAATTAAAATTTACAATGAAAGAAATATGCTTTCAGGGATATACAACATTGTGTAAAGTGGTTTTCTTCTTGATATCATGTATCGCTCAGACAATCGTAAAATGATATTAGATAATTATCAATGAATTAAGTAATGCTATGATTTATTTGACAAATAGAGATGCTATGTAAGGAGAAAACCAGTGTCTATAATGGTGGAAAAAAGAGAAATTTGTGATAGTTACACTGATAGAAAGAGTTATGGTTACTGTGATAAAAAAGAGAAAATTGTAATAGGTACAGTGAAATAAAGAAAAAATCTGATAGCTACAGTTATATTAAGAGAAATAGTTACATTGATATAAGAGATACAGTTACAGTGATAAAAAAAGAGATAATTGTAAGTGACAGTGATATAAAGAGAACATTATGATAGTAACAGTAATATTAAGAGAAATAGTTACAGTGATATAAAGAGAAAGGACTACAGTGATATAAAGAGAACATTGTGATAGTTACAGTGATATTAAGAGAAATAGTTACAGTGATATTAAGAGAAATAGTTACAGTGATGTAATGAGAATACTGTGATAGTTACAGTAATATTAAGAGAAATAGTTACAGTGATATTAAGAGAAATAGTTACAGTGATGTAATGAGAATATTGTGATAGTTTCAGTGATGTTAAGAGAAATAGTTATAGTGATATTAAGAGAAATAGTTACAGTGATATAAAGAGAATATTGTGATAGTTACAGCGTCATTAGGGATATGGTTACAGTGATACAAAAAACATTTTTGATAGTTTCAGTGATACAAAGAGAAATGGTAACTGTGATATAAAGAGAAATTTCTGATAGTAGCAGAGGAACACTGAAATCTAAACTTTAATGAGGAAATATCTTTACAACTGATATATACTTATTTCAATAAGTTAAAGTAAAGATAGAAGTAATACATCAAACCTTTTATAATTTATTTGAATATGTAGAAGTTAAGTTTGAAAACAGTATTCTAGCTATTGTACTTTTGATGTTAGAATATGTAATATTTGTGGAATTTGACAAAGTTGACAACTCATAGGAGCCAACATGGTAGAAACATTGAAAATATTGAATAAATCAAAATTTTTAATTTTTTTTCTTCTATAAGCATGTTTTATCAGTATTTGCATGCATATGGTGTAGATTACCAGAATATTAGTTTTCTATAAAATAATGTGATATTAATGTAAATATTTTCTTATATCGAAAGCTTTTAAGTGTTATATATAAATTACATGTGGATTAACATAACAAGTTTTACAAGTTACCTTTTATTTATAAAATGTGCATAATATGAAGTAATTTGATATTTTGAGTAATTTCTGGAGCAGGAAAAAGTATCAACTGAAAAATACATCCCTTGTTAAGTGAATCTTAAGTGCATCTTCTTTTACACTGTAAGGACTGACCTCTAGGTTATGTTAAACATGTTTATATTACAAAATATTTATTATATAAAGAACAAAGTGAAAGAAGCTTGTTTAAAATGTAAGGATAACACTTAAAAGTTTAAAAAAAAAATTCAAATTCTGCATGTCAAAATATTTAGATTTTTATGGTTTTTGATATTTTAGTTGTTCAAAGCAAAGATCCTGTCTGCATGACCTTGACATATGACACTATCTAGATTGCCTTCTTAATTGATTTTGGCTGGATTATTTCATGGAATTTCAACATTATATCTGAAGGAAGTGAAAAACAGACAAAAAAAGAAAGAGAAAAACACAACAAACAAAGAAAAAGGAAAATAGATTAAATTAGACAGGATGTTTGTTGATATTGAAAATATTTTTCTCTTTTTTTTTATGATTTTGCTGTTGATTGTTGTTGTGGTTGAATTTTCAGTGGACTTCACTGGGGGTCGTTTTCGTACACCTGCCCCTCCTCTCCCTCCACAGCGAGGCCCCTTAAGGGGGGATGTACCATTCTCCCGTTATATTCGGTATCAGACAACTCCTATGCCTGTACCTATAATTCCAATACAGGACAGCGATTTGCAATTATCTCATGAACTTCCAGAACCAGAAGTACAGTTTGGTATGTTATGTATAAACAAATATACCATCCCATAATTTGTTACTGGATGTTTTGTTGTTCTGTAAAATCAGGAATGATTGTAGTCTGTTAAATTTCTGATAAATATGAACAACAAAACTGAGTAGCAAGTATGGTTTGGGCATCATTAAAGTTGGATCTGGCAATGTGCACAACACAAAAGATAGGGGTAGGCATCCTTAAAGTTTGAAATAGTCAGCTATCCTGACAGGGCACATTGTTTATTCAAAACAGACTTTTCCAGTACTTCATTGTGACTGTCAGTATTTTAAAATTTTCACTTTTTTCCAATGATTTATATAAAATAGCATAGTTACAATAATTTTTCTTGAACAGGCTAGAAAACCAATTTAGTAGCAATCTGACTTAATATCAGGGTAAACACTGTGTACAAGATGTTGAAATGTAGCATTTGATGTTCTTCAGAACAAACTGTGTAGCTATGAATGGGCTTATTAACAGACGTGGGCTTATTGCTAGACAAATACATTTTATCTTGTATGATAATTCACCATGGCTAAGCCTACAGTGTCCAGTCTGATCTCCCGCAAAATTAGTCTTTTACTACGAAATACTTTTAAATCGTTGCTATACAAATCTGGAGGTCTCATTTTCAAGGCATTACATCAAAGAAAAGATGAGGTTATCAACATGTCTCTCTATTTGTCTGTAACAGAATCATTTATTCGAGTAAAACTCTTAAATCTGTCAGCAACTATTTGTGAAAGTCTATGTATATGGTTAAAAAGTATGTTAGGAAACAGGTGTACTAACATAGTTACAATTTGTTATTTTTTATCATAAATCATGGAATTATGCCCCCTTAACTGCTATCCTTTTATGATTTGGTGGGAGCAGCATTGAGATCAGATTTAAAGTTGATGGTATGAACCCTCGGGTTTCAACTATCAATGTTTAACTGCCAGTACATGATACTAGAGAAGTCTGTTTTGAGTCAAAAATACAAGTATAATGTGTTGACCAGAAATTCACTGGCCCCAGTTTCAGGAATGGTCCTTAACTTCAATGTTTCAAAAATTGGCTTTATAGAATAAATAGAAAATTTCTATAACTTGTTCCAATTGATCAATTTCTGTTGAGGAATTCGCTGAAGTTAAGGAATATTCACAAAACTGGGGCTTGTCACTGAGGGTCATTATGGAAAAGGAATTTTGATTAAAAGATTAAATTTGAAAATAATTTTCATTTCTATATATTTGTTTTCTCCATAAGCTATCAATGGATCCTACCCAGGTGAGACTTAAAACTTTGAGTGATCATTTGTATTTTATGAATTTCATTATTATTGATAATTTACCTTTATTGATTTTTTTGGCAGATATTCTTAGAACAAATATACAACCAATGAATGGCTTTGCAGTTTTACCAAAAAAATGTATCGTTATTACTTAAATCAAATTTTATTTTTTCAACTTAATATCTTCGATTGTATGTGTGTACAATATTATATTGTTGTCTGTATGTTAATGACAGAATGTATACCTGGCACTTTCGGACCTGACTGTATGTACTCGTGTCAGGACTGCGTGAATGGCGGTTCATGTAACGATCGTCAAGACGAGTGTATCTGTCGACCTGGCTGGCGCGGACTCCTGTGTAATCACACATGTCCAGAGGTAATATATATACTTAAGGATGTATGCTACACAATATACTTAAGGATGTATGCTACATAATTTACTTAAGGATGTATGCTACACGATATACTTAAGGATGTATCTTACTCAGTATACTTTAGGATGTAAGTTACTCAATATTCTTAAGGATGTATGCTACACAATATACTTAAGGATGTATGCTACATAATTTACTTAAGGATGTATGCTACACAATATACTTAAGGATGTATGCTACACAATATACTTAAGGATGTATGCTACACAATATACTTAAGGATGTATGCTACTCAATATACTTAAGGATGTATGCTACACAATATACTTAAGGATGTATGCTACACAATATACTTAAGGATGCTCAGTACTTCTTCATTCACCTTTTTTTCTGTCTAAATGAGTTCCACATCTTAGACTTTAACAACATATAAATATTTGCTACTCTGTGCTCAAGCTCTTTGTGTTCCTTCTTTCTGACAAGTTCAACAACAAAACTCAACAAGATACACCTCTCAGTGCACCTTTGTATATAATTACTTATGTACCAATATCTCACTTCTATATAGTTCTGAAATAAAATACCTTTGTTACTGATGACATTTAGACATTTTAATACTGGATCGTAATAAAGATTATTTCTGTAAGTGGTCAAATTTGATAAAAATCACTTTCATACATGGTTACTATGGTAACAACTGTTCTATATTGTCATCTCTATGGTAACCTTTTGATATATCCAGGGGTTCTATGGTGACAACTGTAACAGTATCTGTGATTGTCAAAATGGAGGCACTTGTGATGCCGAGACTGGCCGATGTATATGTCCTCCTGCTGTAGAAGGTCGTAAGTGTGAGGATGGATGTCCCCGCGGATTTTACGGAGCTAGCTGCAACATTACCTGTCCATACCACTGCTCAAGTGGACATTGCAACAGGCTACTCTACTACTGTCATTGTGAGCTTGGAAAGTTTGGTCAGAGCTGTCAACTGGATTGTCCCCCTTTCACCTACGGATCAAACTGTATTAATGAATGCGATTGTAATATCAACAACACCAGGAGCTGTGATGCCAGGGTAAAAAGGAAATGTTAACAATTAAAATTATTGAATTTCAGAACATAATGCTAGCATAGCCGAATTAACAACAACACTTCTAATCTTCTACTGGTTATGTTATAAGAACTTCTGTTCTATCAAATTTTGAAAGAAGAGGCTGTTTTCGATTATGAAGCTTGCTAACAAAAGAAAAGATGTTTTTTAAAGAAATTATTGCATGTGATTCAAAATAAAAGAATAAAAGATTACATGGTAAGAAAAAAGTTGATTTAGAAAAATATTCTTGATTTCTTTAATAATACATAAATAAGGTCTTGAAAATTACGAAACCAAAATTATGTATAGATAAAAGTACTATGTGGAACATTTCATGTCCAGACTTCATTCTCATAGGGAAAATTCTGAAAGAGAAAAATGAAAATAAAATTTCATATAATGACTTTTAAAATATAACAGACTTTGTCTGAGAAATCAATGTTTTGAATTTTTTTTTATCAGACGGGAAAATGTACATGTCAGCCTGGTTTTTATGGTGAGAGATGTGAGTTGCCCTGTACAGAGGATTTCTACGGCCCAGGATGTCTTCAACGTTGTAACTGTCGTAAACAGATGGTCTGCGATCCTGTAGATGGCGTATGTCGTCATAACTGCCTAGCTGGCAAAACTGGGGAAGATTGTGAAGAATGTAAGGTTTCACAGGAACTGAAATTTGTTTTGGTAGACTGTTTGTATTGGTGTTGTCACTTTTGATTCCTTTAATTTCATTTCATTACATTACTTGAACTTGTCTTAGTTTTTAGGCTTCATCTAGATTTTTCACGTTTCTGTGATTTTCTTTTGAAATATTTTTCACAAATTCCAAAATGATTGATGTTGTCACCTTTCACTATGTTAAAGGTTTTGTTGATTTATAAATAATTTCTTCACGTTCTCAATTCTTGTAAATAATTTTATTTCTTTTTTCTATTTGTTTGTTCGTTTGTGATTTATGAACCTGATAATTAGTTGTACAGTCAACAACAAAATATTATGGTGTTAAAATATCATAACAAACTCCTAGTTTTAAGTTCTTTGATTACTACGCTGTAAGAATTCCATTTTAATTCTGCTATCTAACCTGTATTTTTTTGCCACATCAGAAATGAAAACAATGGCACATGGTTATTTTGAAAAAGTAAGGAGAAAAAAATTGAATGAATAAATAAAATCGCAAAATTAAGGCTATTTGAATCCAAACTTGTGTTCATAACACTTTTTTTTCACGATTCAGCTGACTGTACAATTAACTGTTGTTTGTTTTATTTGTTTATTTTCACCTTGTTTTGATATCACCCATTGTTTACAGCGTGCCCCAGTGGTACGTATGGTCTGTACTGTAAGCGCCGCTGTCAGTGTGGGGGAAGTGAGTGCACACCTGACACTGGGGCCTGTGTGTGTCAGGCAGGGCGACGTGGAAAGCACTGCCGAGACAGTGAGTGGCACAGCACACTTATCTAATTCAAATCCAGATACAGAATTATCATAATCTAGACTGACCGTAAAATAATATATGTTTATAATGAAACCAAACAAATTGAGATTCTGTGTGAGATGATACCTGAGTATCCTAACATCCTGACTTATCGTACCTCTGGGTATACTCACACACTGAATAATTTAACCCCCTGATTATCCTGACATCTTGTCTAATCTGACCCTTAAGGGTCTGACATTCTGTCTGATCTGACCCCTGCATATTCTGACATTTTGTCTAATCTGACCTGGAAGGTTCTGATATTCTGTTTGATATCTGACCCCTGAAGGTCCTGACATCCTGTTTAATCTAATCCTATGTTATCTGATCTTGAAGTATCTGACTTTCTGTCTAATCTCTTATTTAACTCCTGAGTGTTCTGGTATTATGTCCTATCTGACCCAAAGTTCCTACATTCTATCTCATCTGTCCCCTGACATTCTGACATCCTGTCTTAGCTGACTGTTGAGTATTCCAATGTTCTGTCTGATCTGACCCCTGAATAATCTGACATCCTGTCTAATTTGATCCCTTAGTTTTCAGATATCCTGTTGAAACTGTCCCCTTAATATTCTGACATTCTATACAAACCAACATAATGATTCTATACCATGACTTTGGTCAGCTTTCTTCAGCTAAATTATACATGATAGACTCACCATCTAAACTTCCAGTCTGTTCTAGCAATATTATCTCTCCATCTTATGACATGCTAGATATAGTCATTTTTAACTTATATCCATTTGAAATAAAATATTGGAGCATGTAGAAGACAAGCACCAATTTTTACAAAACTCTACATGAAGGGCTACCAAGTTTATTCACTTTGACCTGCTGTCAAGGTAACTGGGGTCAAATGTGATGAAATGTGTACGTAACATCTTCTCAATAACCAAAAGGTCAAGGGTCTTGATATTGGGCCAGTGGCATGTTTTTCAAAAAGCAATACATTTAGAGTAATGGCAGTTGTGTAGTGCATGTATAAAGAATATGATTTCAAGTTTGCAGAAAATGTCTTGATGAACTAAGCAATGTCTTCTATGTAAGCTGTAGTGTAGATGAGCAATTTGTTTCAGGCTGTTTTGGCCTCTTTCATATATAGATCTTGTTAGTCACATGACCCTTAAGGCCTGTTGTCATCTGGTTTAAAATTTATTTTTGATTTTATATTGTACAAATTAAGACACATATATCCCTGTGAAAGGTCCGGGAGTGTCTGTTTACACATTAACAGGAGAAATCAAAGGATTCAGTTTGAATAAGATTGAAATTGGACTTCAGCGCCTGTTGCACTGATGGACTTTACAAACACAAATGATTTATAACTTTCTGTTCATTACTAAAGTTTTATCTTTTATCTAATTTATTGGCACACTTTTGTCCTGAATTCCTGTTCTGTGTATGAATAATACCATTTGTAATTGTTACCAACATCAATATTGTTTTAAATGGTATTGCAAATTACAAATTCACATGAATTAAACTGGTAAAATATTAGATTTTTCGTGAGGTTTCCTTAACATGTTATTGTAGATTAACAGGGTACTGATAGGAAAATGACATATCTTACAGTCCTTTTCACAGTTCATATTTGTTCTAAATTTCAGCTTGTGAGGAGGGCACTTGGGGCATCAACTGTGAAAACATTTGTATGTGTAAGAACGGCGGGTCATGTGACCCCGTAACTGGAGAATGCATTTGTCCTGATGGCTGGTATGGTCGGGAGTGTAATGAGAGTAAGTTTGTTTTGACTTTTTTGTATAGCATTCCAAAATCTATGGTATATTTAGCCCATCATCATCTGATGGACAGCTATTCAAATCACCCTGCATCCATAGTCTTTCCGGCCGTCCGTCCATCTGTCCATAAAATTTTGTTGTTATTTCTATTTCTTAAGAAGTACTGAATGGATCTTTCTCAAATTTCGTATGTAGGTTCTCCTTGGTTCCTAGTTGTGCCTGCTTGATTTGGAACTGGCTAGAAAAACAAAATGGCTGCCAGGCAGCCATCTTTGATTTTGACTTTGCAAGATTCTTAATGCTATTTCATGGGAAGTACTGGATGGATCTCTCTCAACTTTTCTATGAAGGTTTCCTTTTGCCCCTAGTTGTGCCCATTTAATTTTGGGACTGATCAGAAAAGACAAAATGGCTTTCAAATGACCTTCTTGGATTTGGCAGGTTAAGATTATTATCCCTATATCTGCAAAAGAATATTCAAATTTCTTATTATTGAAAGAAAAAACAGAAGAGAAGAGAAAAAAGGGAAAAGGTCCAACTTTCAAAAAGCAAATAAAGATCAAACAATGGCGGGTGCTAAGATCTCTCTGGGATCTCTTGTAAGAATAGAAATTTTGTTTTCAGACCTGACTGAACTGATCAGAATGTTACGCCCTGTTTGAAATATAATCAGTTACCCTTTAGGCTACTTATTTAGTGAGAGCTGCTGATTACTCTGTACCTAAAAATGATTGGAATTTCAAAATTTATTGCTGAAATTAGATTTAAAATTGACAGCTTAAACATATGTACATTCTTACTTAAATAGAAACCAACTTATAATTTTTATGAACAAAATGTTTCGTATGTCCAAAAACTGAAATTGGAAGATGTTAAATGTGTATTCTCATTCACTGACTTACTGAAAATAAGTTATTATTTAAAAAAACCAAAACAAAAAAAAAGATAAAATGTACTCACTCTACATACCTTTTTGTTCTCAGTTTGTCCCCAGGGCCGGTACGGAGCCCAGTGCCTGTCACGATGTCTTTGTGAGAATAACGCCATGTGTGATCCAAGAGATGGTAGATGTAACTGTTCCTCGGGCTGGACGGGTCAGATCTGTGACAGAGGTATATAGTAACTGTAATGATTAGAACTAGTGCACTACTTAAGAAAATGTAAAAAGAATATTACTTAATAACATTTTAAATCTCAAGAAATGAAAGACTGGTTTGTAGATTTAATAGCGATGTTGGCTGATTTTGCCTGTACAATAAACGCCCTGATTCTAGTTGTTTAAAAAGTTAGTTAAAGTTTACCAGTGGTTATGATTATAAAGTCTAATTGTTGCCATAGAAAAAAATACAGAAGCATGAAAGACAAATACTCTTTTTGGTCTTTCTCAAAAAAGATGCAGCTAAGAAATGATAAAGAATGTTTCAAATTTTGATGGATTCATATTGATCAATTTTCACTAACCGCTGGTTATCTCTAATAGGCCTTTAACATCTGGTGCCTGGTTGTATATCTATACACCATGAAAATCCGTCCAATCATAAACTAGGTAAAAAACCATGATCTGAGGTCTACCAGAAAAAGAATGACCTGAGGTTTACCACGGCTGGATCTATATGTAATGGGAGCTGATAATACTAAGACATCAATATAATGACAACTTAAATAAATTAAGATAACTTCTGAAATTAATCATTTCAATTATAAATAATTTTTTAGACATTTTTTAGACATTTTTGAAGATTATATAAAATAAAGCTGCATCACAAATATGTGGTTGTATTGATATTTTTAGCCTGTTCACCGGGGTCTTTTGGTCCAAATTGTCAACAAAACTGTCAGTGTCGTAATGGAGCAGAATGTGATCCCACCAACGGTGAATGTCTCTGTGCTCCTGGCTGGCGTGGCCCTGGATGTGATCAAAGTAAGTATCTTTAATTTTCATCGTACATCTTATCAGATTATTATACCGAAAGGACCAACACAAAAACTAGGAGCCTAAACTGAAAGGTTAAATTATTTGCAGAAAGTGCCATGATACAAAATCATATATAATTTTGTGGTCTCAATTTCTGTGGTTTTCAAAAAAAACAAACAATTTTTTGTGGGCGCTTGATTTTGTTGGAAAATATAGCTCCATTAAAGTTACTTAGATATATTTTAACAGTTCATAGACAAATAAATGAATAGATGAAGGTATATTAATAATTGAAAATTCTACAGTCTTTGATGCCGTTTCTACCTCAACAGATTGTTGGGTGGGCTTATTACTGGTCATGGGCTTATCACAGGATAAGTATAATATGTATCCAAATGGGGTTATTATTCTGTCAGATAACTGACCTGTGATTGCTGGTCACACTTTGTCTGTAGAAAGGAATAAAAAGATGACAAAAATGTATCATTGTATAGATATTGCAGTGATGACAGAAGGGAGATAACTTTGATCTCCTTGTGGGGATTTTGTATGATGAGCCCAAGTTAAATGAAATACCAACAAGCTAGGATGGACTAAACATTGTTGTCAGTGATGTTTGTGATAAATATTAACAGTCATTGATGAAGTTTTGCTTTAACATAACAACAGAAAAAAAAAAGTTTTGTCATGAGTAAACATTAAATCCGATCCAAGTTTTATTGCAAATGAAATGGATAGCAATATATTCTAATATTTAAAGTACTCCTATACCAAGGTTTCCTATAGAGGAAACTGTTAGCACTGTTGTTTTAATGGTATAGTAGTTGATCATTAAGTTTATATCTGGCAAGATTGACAGCTTAATATTTCGCAGAAAACAGATATCGGTATAGACAGGTATAGATAGACAAATTGATTTGATTTTAATGGCATTTAATAATTGAATTTCTTATTTTTCCAGAATGTGAGAACAACACTTACGGTCCAGGATGCAGTCAGCCTTGTCAGTGTTACAACAGTGCAATGTGTGATCACATAAGTGGGGCGTGTGTGTGTACCTCCGGCTGGCGTGGCCGAAGCTGCGACAAAGCGTGTCCTGAAGGTTTCTTTGGCCTCGAGTGTCAGGGAGTCTGCAGCTGTGGTAACGGGGCCGAGTGTAACCATGTCGACGGGACCTGTCGCTGTGCCCCTGGCTGGAGCGGTAACCAGTGCTCGGAACCATGCATAGCAGGGATGTATGGAGTGGAATGTTCTCAAAGGTGTAACTGTCAAAACAGTGGTGTTTGTGACCATGTGTCGGGGACATGTATCTGTGACAAGGGTTGGCGAGGTGCTGATTGTGAAGAAGGTGAGTATTCTAAAGCGGTGGCTATTTTGGTGGTTTACAGTGACTCATAAAAAAATTTGACCAGAGAGAAAGTAAATATTTGATTTGATGTCATGTGACATTATGATGATAATCTTACTGACATGTAATTATGCTGTGTGTATCAATATTTTTTTTTATCCACAGCCTGCCAGCCTGGCCACTATGGCAGTAATTGTCTGTATCGTTGCTACTGTCTGAACGGAGCGACATGTGACCACATCAGTGGGGTGTGTAACTGTACGCGGGGTTACACTGGCACTGCCTGTGAACTCAGTAAGTCGCACTTCAACAGGCAATTCTGTAAATAAAGCATTTTATAAAAAAAATTGAAAATAACAACTATGGCTTTTACAAGTGATGACAAAATTGGTTTAATTATTAGCTCACATCATTGATCCAAGCAAAATAGTCTTTATTCCAGATAATGAATTTATTTTTAAAGATATAAAATAAAAATAATCAATTTTATTTTGTCACCTCTGAGTAATTTATATAAACTCCTCCATCTCTTCATCTGGACAAGTCCATATTCAGTCTTTAGGGGTGGATGCCACAATACATATGTGTTTAGAAGTTGAGATTACAGGTCACCATACTACTCCTGGTTAGTTGGAATTTCCCTTTAGTCAATTGGTAAAGACCAACAGGTCATTTAAGTTCAAACAAGAGTTTATTTTTCATGGCTCATTCCTGTCTCAGATTGAAGCTTCAGATGCCTACATAGGGATACCTCTGGGGACAAAGTCTTTGTGAAGGAGGGAGTAGTGTAGAAGTTGAGAGTACAGGTCACATTACTAATCTTTTCTGAATGGAATTTCCTGTTAGTCATGTGGCACAGTGTAGGGCTTGAGATCGAATTTTCAAAGGTCACTTAATGCTTAAACTCTGTTGGGGGCAAGGCTTTTTTGACGCTCCCCGAATGGAAAGCATATAGTTGCCACTTTTTCTATCCTTCTGTTCATCATAATTTGGTCAGGTGTGTAACACAAAAACAATAAGACGTATTAACATAAATCTTCTCAACAAGGAGAAGTGCAGTGCACCAGAACCATCACTCTGTTTTGCATCATTTAGGAGTTATTGCCCTTTGTTATATTGTCTGGACCATTACACTAAAACTATAAGAGGTATCAACATGAGACTTTATAGATAGATAAATCCCAACAAGGAGGAGGGCAGTGCACAAGAATCATAACTCTCTTATTGCATTTTGTTATTTTTCACACTTAAATTTTGGCCCACTTGGGTAGCGTAGCCCGTCTGTGATGGCCCTTTTTTTTTCTTTCTATTGCATGAATATTTAAATTTCTTGCTATAAAAGTTTCGTTTTTCTCTTTATAGCATGCCAAGAGGGAAAGTATGGCCCTAACTGTGCTTACACATGTGATTGTGTCCATAGTGAATCCTGTGATAAATCTACTGGTGCGTGTACCTGTAGCCCTGGTTACCGTGGTGAGCGCTGCGAGTCGGGTAAGTTAAGACCAATATTTGTGTGTTGATTACATGTTAATACCAAACATGTTCATGCCGTGAATTTTTAGAGTAAAGCAGTTGTTGTTTGAATTAATTCTTTTTCTCTGCAGAATGTCCTCATGGTTTTTATGGAAAAAATTGTGCAGAGAGTTGTGAATGTCAAAATGGAGCAGCTTGTAATCATGAAACTGGACATTGTCAGTGTTTACCTGGCTGGAGAGGGCGCCACTGTCATAAAGGTATATAGAGGGCGCCATTGTTATAAAGGTATATGGAGGGCGCCATTGTTATAAAGGTTTATAGAGGGCACCATTGTTATAAAGGTATATAGAGGGCGCCATTGTTATAAAGGTATATAGAGGGCGCCATTGTTATAAAGGTATATGGAGGGCGCCATTGTTATAAAGGTATATGGAGGGCGTCATTGTTATAAAGGTATATGGAGGGCGTCATTGTTATAAAGGTATATATATAGAGGGTATAGGTATATGGAGGGGCGCCATTGTTAGGTAAAGGTTAAAGGTATATGGAGGGCACCAGGGCGCCATTGTTATAAAGGTATAAAGGTATATGGAGGGCGCCATTGTTATAAAGGTATATGGAGGGCGCCATTGTTATAAAGGTATATAGAGGGCGCCATTGTTATAAAGGTATATGGAGGGCGCCATTGTTATAAAGGTATATGGAGGGCGCCATTGTTATAAAGGTATATAGAGGGCGCCATTGTTATAAAAGTATATAGAGGGCACTACTGGTACAGTGTTTACCTGGCTGGAAAGGGTGTACTGTCATAAAGGTGTGTAGCAGACATCATGATGACGGTTAAAGACATGTACTAGCCCCACCGACATAACTTTTTGTAATAGAAACGATTTCAGTTAAATAATTTCAGTTTTAACTACAGTTATATTTTATTTTTGATTGTTGTAGCTTGTCCGTCTGGATTTTTTGGTGAAGATTGTATAGGAATATGTGAATGTGACCCAGGAATGCCTTGTGATCATATAACTGGCACCTGTAGATGTCCTGCAGGTTTTACTGGAGAGAGATGTGACAAAAGTAAGTACAAATTGGACGTCATAGGACATTCATTATCTTGATGAAAAATCTTTACTAGATTTCCAGATTAGTATCCCTCATTTGCATGCAGATTTTGACAGTAATTTTAAAACATTGTCTTAATTCTAGAAATGAAAATTGCAGATTTGACATTAATTATATCAGAAAATTCATTAAAAGTTATTGATAAAATTATATCATATATCAAAAACAAATTTCAATTTTGTTCACGTCTTCAGTTATCATAAAGACTATAACATGACTTTGTGCATCATAGAATGTCCCGAGGGTACATATGGTGATGACTGTGCCAATGTTTGTGACTGTGTGGGACATCACATGACCTGTCACCATACTACAGGGGAGTGTATATGTAAACCTGGTCATAGGGGGCGCTTCTGTAACAAAGGTACACAGCTTTTTTTATTACCTATTATGGTTTAAGCTTTGCTGGGATATATCAGCTACATTTAGTCATTTGAAGTTTTAATATAGATTTCATCATTGAATCATCAAATTTGTTTAATTTTTTTCAAATAATATATTTTGAAAGAGAGGAATGAAAGGGAGAATTTTTTTATTAATTCAGCGATTCGAGCAGGCTAACCATAACAGCCTATGATTCATGTATTTGAAATCTTGTCGACTGAATTTCAGTAATTAAGTTTGTTAATTAAGATTCTTGAGTAGAGTAGATAATTTACATATTTTTATTGTTTAATATGGAATAGTTTTGTATTATATATCTGCTGCTGCAGTATATCATCAACATAGGCTACTGTTGTGATATATATAATGTTATCAATGCTTTAGTGTGTTTTGCAATATAGCTGCATTTAAATGTACATTTGAAACAAATCAATTTGTTTAATAATATCCATCGTGACTTGATATGATCCAGATCTGTTGCTATTCATCTGTCTGCTTTCCATTTAGATCATGCCATTTTTCAGTTAGATATGGTTTAGAATAAATGGAAAAGGGACTTTTTTAAGTCCTACATTGATATTATGGAAAAAGGATTTTTAAAAAAAAACACATATTAATAAATAAATAACTAATTTCGAACATATGTTTACTTTTCCTGGAGGCGGGGAAACCAAAATCTATATTCAAAGGTTTTTGTAAGGCTCCTTAGGAGTTGTGGGTTCTGTTGAAGGCAGAGAAGGGTCAGATTTTCATTTCCCAGTAAACTTGACGGGAAAAGATATATAAAAAAAATCAGTCTGCTTGTTTTTGCCCCAATTCATGGTGACATCCTATCATAATATTGTTCTCCCTCCAGTTTGATTTTAATTGTCTCCTTTAATCAAAAAGGTATACATAATTATTTAAATTTAGATTTTATGCTGTAAAAGTCATAATTCCAAAAATAAAAAAAATTTAAAAACTTTTGTGCTATTACAAGACAGAAAATAGCATGTCGTAAAAAGTCCATTGAACATAATGATGAGATCATATTTTCATCATTTTCAACTTTAAGAGGTGTGTGGTAGCTTTGTCATAATCAGATAGATTTGTGACCGGCTAAAGCTTGCTATAAAACTTATATTCCAATTACAATATGTAAAACAATATACACTTAAAGGCTGAGTTTTACTGCAAGGGGTTTCAAGTGATATTTTCACGTATTGTTTTGCTTTGTATAAACATATATATTTTATGAGTGTATCTTGCTTGCTTTGTTCTGGATAAAGGAAGGAAAAATAAAAAAGGTAGAAAGAATAAAGGAAAAAAACAACGTGATGGGGATGAGAACGAATTGGACAACGTTATTATATCAGAGTCTTTTGACTTACTCCAAGACGTCAAACCAGAAACAGGTAAAGTGCAAGCATGTGTTTTTTGCCTGTCGTTATATACATAATTGTATTTTACTTGCAAATCGCCTACCTCAAAAATTTGGAATGCAGACTTTTTTGGTGGGAATGAAGGTTTTTGGATTATTGAAAGACCAGTATGTATTCATATTGCTTACGAATGAGTTAAACAAGTCGTAGATAAAAAAAGTACCAGTATTTTTCTATTAATAGAGAGTTTGGATTAAATTATGTAAGGGAGATAACTCATATCTTTATCTCAGTTTATAAGCTATGTTATATTAATAAAGATTTTTTTTTACTTGAAAATAAAGACATTTAAATCAAATCTGTATTTCCTTTGCCTTCAAATAGCTTCATGGATAGCAGGTACCAACTTCAAAATTTTTTTATGTTTTCTGTGCTGTTCTCAAAAATAAACGTCATACACTTAGTATTGTCACAGTGATAGTCTTTGGAACATTTCATTGAAAACACATATTTGATTTCCTTGCAAAGTTTTTACAGATTTCTAGATTTAAGAGCCCAGTTTATTAGTAAACTTTGGTAATCATGTCTTGTTAATTATTAGAAGCAGTTGCTGATTTTCGATATCATCAATATATTCTCTGATATAAAACTCTGGAATGGGAGTTAAATTTGGGAAAACAACTTGGAATTTTGAGATGGTTCAAACTTTTTCTAAATTTGTGCAAAACAATATGAAAATCCATTTAAATTTTTTTGAAGAAAATGATCAGGATGTGTTTGCTATTTGACTGTTCCAAGAACATTGTGACCTCTGTGTTTGTATGTAGCATGGGTATCTGAACAATGTCTGCTTCACACTGTTGTAATGTTAAGTCTTATCTTTCAAGCTTATCTTTTACAAGATATTCACAGCTTCATTTGAAGTTATGTCTGACCTTTTTCCCCTATTTTTGGGTAGATAACATTTATCATTAATTTGCTAAAGGTGACTTAGTCTTTCTACATTGCTGTAAAATTTTGATGATTTCTTGATATCTTCATATTTGTCTTTGATTTAAAGTTAAGGCTCTGTTTTCTTAACAGAATATATTAAAGCTTGTGTATCTTTCTATATAATGATTAATATAGCTAAATATTGGGCAAGGCTTCCTTTCCTGACAATCTTTTCTTAAACCAATTTACAATATTTTGCTTTACTGTCTGTAAATTCACTTCTAATTAAAACATGTGTTATTATTCATAATTTATTTTAAACTGAATTTTGTGTCCTGATTTTATTTCTAACGATTCTAATTTCAATTTTAATTGTAAAATTTTAATAACATCAAATAATATTTGTCAGAAGTTCAGTTTCTCCATGGTTTCAAGAAGTACTTACTGTTTTCATGTCAACAGAAATATATTTAAAGAATATTATTGAAAAGACAAATTGTAAGATTTGTTTGAAGCGTAGGCTTGGAATCTTGGTGTCCTATACTGTAGATAGAATTTTATCCCGACTTTCTGATCCGATTTTCAGGCCATCTGATGTTAAATACTGTACCCTGTGTTGTTTGATTTTTGTCTCCATGATCTCTGTTTCTGTTTTTTTACATGAGTTATGTCCCTTTTATTTTTAAAACACAGTAATCACTTAATCATCAGATACATATCAATGTTATTGATTTTATGCCTCTCACCAGTTTCGTGGATGGATGGTCGGGAAGGTTGGGCATAGTTTGCTAGATTGTTTCAGATTACCAAGATGATGGTCACCTTGTTATTTATAGAATATTTGTCAGACTTATCTTTTTCTTATATGCATGGTAACAGGGTAATTATGTCAAATAGTTCACGTTCATACCTATAAATAGCCTTTCGCTTTTACATATGTACTTCACACTTCTATATACATAGTAAGTAAACACAAGCATGATGACAATGTCACGATCTGCACACAATCTAATTATCATATGTTGCTATATGGTCGACAATTTTGGTCTCTCATGCATCTTTAGGAACAGTCGTTTCACAAACAGTCACTATCTGATTCTAAAGTAGCAATTACTATTACAATAAGCCTAATTAGATATATTATGTATGTTGTTATGTTTATTTTAGCTAACTCCATGAAGGTACATGTATACACAGGGGCTTGGCAAGAATTCCAAACCCTGTAGTCTGTGTATATGTATATGTTTTATGATAATTGAAATATACATACTGTATGGTCTGATGAATTTTTGCTAAGTCTCTGTGTTAATTCCCAGGTACACACTTTGTACATGCATCTCCTTTAGGATTAATTGACATGTGATAGGATTCCGAATATGAAATATGGCTTTGACAAGATATTCAGTAGTCTCTCCTTTGTATGTATCCCACTTAAGCTTCCAGGTAACAGCAACTTGATCTAAAAGAGGTCTTTATATCAGATACTGAAGGATATTTGAATGAATTACAATGAAATAAAGAGAAAGAAAATTTGTCCAAAACCCGTATCATAAATGATAAAGAAAATTTGTCCAATACCCGTATCATCAATGATAAATAAAAATTTTTAACTTTGACTTCCATTACAGTATGTATTTTGAAATGAACACAACTTATTTCCATTTTTGTTCCTTATTCAAAAATTTTGCCATTAAACTGGACTTGAAATACAGTTGAACCTCATTATCTCGAACCCAGTGGGACCATGGGGAAACTTCGAGATGATTGAGTATGTGATTTAAGTGAGTTCCAATGTTTTGTGTAAAGTTGGAAAGGGACAGACGAAATGCTTCAAGTTAAACATGGTCTTTGAGTAATACAAGTTTGAGATAATGATGTTCGCCTGTATCTATATTGCTGATGCTGTAATGATTCCCTGTATTATTGTTATCAGGAGTGAAAATCCAGTCTTTTACGTCTAATTTGTATTTACACGAGACATGGAAAAATAATTTGATTGTACAGCCAGCTCTAATATTAAAAGCAGATATTTTAAAACAAACAAAGAAAAACCAAATTAAATTGAATATATTTGTACTTCTAGGTTGTATGGAAGGAAAGTTTGGACCTAGTTGTGACCGTGACTGTCAATGTGAAAACGGAGCAACATGTCACGTGATAACGGGGACTTGTCTATGTAGGGATGGATATTTTGGTCCAACTTGTGCCCTGAAATGTCCAGAAGGTCGCTACGGAACAAATTGCTCTGAAATTTGTCATTGTCTTAACGGTGGAAAATGTGGGCGTATCAATGGAAGATGTAAATGTCATCCTGGATATACTGGCTTCCTCTGTGAAAGCGGTGAGTCGCAGGAAGTGATGTATGAAATGGAAAAGGATAAAATATTTTATTGTTTAGGTGACATATATGGAATCTTTCATGAAAAATCTGTACTACCAATAGTCTTACTTGATATCTCTTTCTCTGGTGACAATTGAAACAATTGGAAATTTCAGCCAGTCTCAATTCTGTTAGGCATAATCGAAGTTATTGTAGCATAATCAGTGTATGTAATGGATGTTATTACACTGATAACAAGGATGTTTTTTGTTGAACCGATTTACATAAAGATTTTGCCTTTATCAGATTTTTAAGATGTATTTTGCCTGACTCCATTTATCAAAAACTATTCTTGCAGAATGCGAAGAAGGTTACTATGGATACAACTGTGCTCAAAAATGTAACTGTAGCAGCCACGGGTCATGTGACCATATCACGGGAACCTGCCACTGTCACCTTGGTTACACAGGCCCTAGCTGTAACAAGACTTGTCCTTTGGGCAGATTTGGCCCCGATTGTGTACATTCCTGTAACTGCCAGAACCGAGCTCCATGTGATCCTGTGACGGGATGCTGTTCCTGTACGGAGGGCTTCTACGGACAAAGTTGTGAATTAGGTATTAATTTTTTTTATATTTAGAAGTAAGGTTTTTTTTTCTGGTAGGTATTTATTTTTAGCTTGACACAAAGTTATTTTTAACCTTTTTTGTAACAATTTTTAAAGTATGCAATCTGGTTTTATGAATTTTGAAAGAATATAGGAATTAAATGTACATATATTTTTAGACCGTTTTTATCAATTATATTGGCCAGTACTATTTCCTTACTTAATGAAGTACCTATGTTTTACAGAGACACTTTTAGGAAAAATTTCATGTTTTGTTTTAAAAGTGTGTATAATAATACATGTACACTGCTGATTTTCTTTCATCCAGCATGCCCAGAAGGGACACATGGCCCTTATTGTCGAGAGAGATGTGATTGTGTCAATGGGGCCACTTGTAACGCTCAGACAGGGCAATGTAGATGTCGCCTGGGCTTCTTTGGGGACAGGTGTGAAGCAGGTAAGAAGTCTTGTGTGACCAACTACACTGATATACTGTGATTGACCAAGATGTATATTTAATGGATGGATTTTAACAGAATCAGAATTTTACTCATTGGTATCAGAAACTGTTTACTTATGATTATATGAAAGAATTGACTCATTTGTGTACAAAACATTCAACTCCGCGGCATTAGAGATTTGATGACCGCCACTAGAATCTTATTGAAAACTTATGTCTCATTAGCATGCAAACCTGTAGACTCATTAGTACCAAAAATTGTAGACTCATTAGTAACAAAAATGTTGACTCCTTAGTACCAGAAACGGTTGACTCATTAGTACCAGAAACTATTGACTCATTAGTACCAGAAACTGTAGACTCATTAGTACCAGAAACTGTAGACTCATTAGTACCAGAAACTGTAGACTCATTTGTACCATAAACTGTAGACTCATTAGTACCAGAAAATGTTGACTCATTAGTACCAGAAACTGTAGACTTGTTAGTACCAGAAACTGTAGACTCGTTAGTACCAGAAACTGTAGACTCGTTAGTACCAGAAACTGTTGACTCATTAGTAACAAAAATGTTGACTCATTAGTACCAGAAAATGTTGACTCATTAGTACCAGAAAATGTTGACTCATTAGTACCAGAAACTATTGAATCATTAGTACCAGAAAATGTTGACTCACAAGTGCAAGAAAATGTTGACTCACTAGTATCAGAAACCGTTGACTCATTGATATCAGAAACTGTAGACTCATTAGTATCAGAAACTGTTGACTCATTAGTACCATAAACTGATGACTCATTAGTACCAAAAGCTTTCTATTTCTCAGTTTGACTTAATAATTATTTAGAATTTCCTGTATTTGCTTTGTCCCAGTGTGTCCCAAAGGAAGATATGGTCTCCATTGTAAGCAGTTCTGTGACTGTGGAAGAGGGTCATGTGACCATGTGACAGGAGCATGTCAGTGTCCAGCAGGAATGTCCCTTCCTAACTGTTCTAATGGTAAGTATAGAGGATGAATATTGTCTTATTGTGTTGTCTACCTGTCAAGTTTACATCACACAAAACATATTTACTGTCATTTTGGTTGGGTGGGTTTGAGGGGAGGGGGGTAAGGGAGGTAAGGCCAACTTTGATATGATAATCAATACTTCAACTTGCTATTTAATTGGATTGAATTGAAGATTTACTGAATGTTGAAAGAAATTCGAAAAACAACTTGTATACAGACTTAGAACAGGCTAAATTTTTAGACAATTTTAATGTTAATGTTTATATGTTGTTTTCACTGGAGAAATTTATGAACTTCTGACCTGATCGCTGTTTTCTTTTCAGTATGTAAGAAAGGAAAATATGGCCCCAACTGTGAACACTTTTGTGACTGTGATAACGGTAGTACCTGTGACTATATGTCTGGGGCCTGTAAGTGTGCCCAGGGATTTCATGGCTCCCAGTGTCAACATAGTCTCAGTAAGTATTTATAAGTAAACCAGATGTATTCTGTAACAGTAGTACCTGTGACTATATGTCTGGGGCCTGTAAGTGTGCCCATGGCTCCCAGTGTCAACATAGTCTCAGTAAATATTTATAAGTAAACCAGATGTATTCTGTAACAGTAGTACCTGTGACTATATGTCTGGGGCCTGTAAGTGTGCCCATGGCTCCCAGTGTCAACATAGTCTCAGTAAATATTTATAAGTAAACCAGATGTATTCTGTAACAGTAGTACCTGTGACTATATGTCTGGGGCCTGTAAGTGTGCCCAGGGATTTCATGGCTCCCAGTGTCAACATAGTCTCAGTAACTATTTATAAGTAAACCAGATGTATTCCATAGTAAGTGAGTCTCAGTAAGTATTTATAAGTAAACCAGATGTATTCTGTAGTAAATACATATTACATTTGACTTGCATTGTTTTCGGAGGAGTTGCATGGGGGTGGGGGTAGTGTTTGGAGGGTTGTTAGAGGGGTACACCAGGAAGGGGGGCTTACTACAGGACATCAGTGCCATTAATATATAAATTTCAGTAAATGAGTGATTTTAAAGGTGTAAGTTTAAACTAAATGATCATACTGTACTGTCTAATGATTTTTCAGTTGCTGATGGGGAAAGAAATAATATATTGTTTGTGAATGTTTTCCAAGAAAAAAAAATGTGGGAATGATGAAGTGATCTTTATAAAGATCAGTTTGTACAAATTGTTTACAAACCATTTCTATGCATTTTTTTTCTGACACATTCTTATAAGACTACACTTTCACAAAACCAAAGTTAGAAATGATCATGGTAAGAGTGCTTTCTCCAGTTGTTGCAAAATTAAAAAAATGTTAATATCGACTTCCAAAATCATAATGGTCAATTTGTGACATTGATTCCATCCAACATCTTAATTAAAACAGCTAATTACAGTGCAGCATCATAATTATATGAAAGTGTTTTTACATGTGACACAGAATGCAAAACACTTAAACTATAAATTCATTGCTATAAGGTTTATTTTTTTTCTGTTTAAAAGTTTAGTTATGAAACGTGGCAAGTAAGTACTTATATAGATACAAACAGGCATGTTATTACCAAAGTTGTCTGCTTATTTTTTTAATTGAATGTTTCATTACAGCTTAAATCATTTTAGTTGATGAATTGAATGAACACTAGGATGTCCCTACAAGCTTGGCTAGAATGTATTATTTGTCAGTGCATGTTGGCTAGTCATATTTACTAGAAATATCTGGACTGCTTACTGTACCCTGACTTATCACTATTTATTTTCCGTGAATTTTTTTTTAGAAATAAATAATGAAAAAAAAAACCCAATATTTTATTTAATGAAACAATTCTATTTAACTAAACCAATAATTATGTATTAATTTTTTTTTCATGAATCAGTATATTAATATCATTCAAAAAATGTTCATTGTACAAAATGCTATGTTCATGAATGTGTTCTCAAATATTTTTACAAAAATGCTATAATTCTAATTTATATCATACCAACTCAAACCTGAAATTGGAATATTGATAGATTGTAAACAAGATGTCTGTTTTGTTTGTTTGTTTGTCATTTTTGATGCTGTAGATATCATCATTCTCAGAAGAAAGATTTCAATTTTACATTGTGAAAAAGAAAATGATCAGATTCTATTTACGGTCTTCAATTTTCTGTTTAGAAATTTCGGTAGATACCTATTTTTAAATGTGAAAGAAAAAACAGCTTCCATTTTTTAAGCATGAAATTATATTAAAAGTATGTTGCATGGAAGTGCTTCAATTATTCATTGGAAAAAAACATTATTTTTTTCAGAGATGCCGGCATAAAAAGCTCACAAAATATTGCAATGTTTTAGTGTAGGAAATTTTGTCCTCAGATAATCCATACACCTGGTAGACTGAAGTCAAAACAAAAACTTAATTAAAAGTCAAAATACCAACATTTTTGTCAAATTTTGAAATATTTTCGTCAGAAAAGTGTCACGATACCATTCACAGTATCAAGTAGTGTTTTGAAAGTGTCAAGAGGCATGTAATGATGTGATTCTTTTCTTATTTCAGATGGGTTAGAATGATGCATGTCGTCTATAGTAACAATGAGGTCACTATTTGCACATTTTGATACATTTTTTTTGCATTTAATAATTAATGCTTCATATTTACACCAGATTTTTATCTGTCAGTTATAATTTTAACAACAAATAACTGTGGTGTCAACCTTTCTAAAAATATTTTTGTCTACATTGTCGGTTTGATTTACATAGATTAAGATTAATTATCCTGTGATTTCAAGGGCAAAGATCTTTAAAAAATGTCTGTTTTCAGCAGTAGGAGTTTGGTTTACTTTTCTAAATATATATAAACTAAAAGCAATGCCTTGGGAAGGAAAAATACCAAAATATGACAAAAACACAAGACGGTCCACAACATATATATATATATGTATTTCATATGATTTATATATCCTTGAGAACATTGTACTGAGAATGTAGTCTCCACAAATGATCAGACTCAACAATTCTAGTTTAGAATTAATTTCAGAATTTAAACGCTCCCAAATGACTATTAACATAATGCTTTAATGGACATGTATTAATATATCTTAAGTTTTGATATATATCTAAATTTTCAGAAAGTCTAATTCTGCGAGGTATATTCTTCTACCGTATTTCACCGCAAATAAGCCCCCTCCCCAACATATGCCCCAAATAAGGGGCTTATTTGCGGTAAAATACGGTAACCATGACTTTTTGTTTAGTTTTGCTTAATAATGTTATATTTGTATCAGTTAATTTCTAAATAACATCTTTGATGATTAATATAACATACAAAATATATATGTTTAGAACATACTCCAGGTATATTCATTCTTTGTCATTTGAGTTGAATATTTTTGGATTTATTATTGGGGGAAAAAAAAAACGAAAAAAATACACAAAAAGTTGTAGACGAAATAACACACTTGTCAACTTTTCGGAATGTTTGTAGAAATTATTCAAATTTGCAAGCCGACTAAGTGCATTTTAACAAGGCATTTTGTGCTACTTTTTTGGTAGACTCATGTGATTTTCAATATTAGGAGGATTTCCATATGATTTGTCTCGGTGATTGAACAGAGACTCAGAATTCTCCCTGATGAAATAGAAAGGTTATAATATAATGGGAGGTGATATTATTTGATTGAGATAAATGATGTTGAACTGATGATTGGAATAGTCAGATGTCTTTATATAACTCATTGTGATGTATGTATTTTGTGCGTCTGTCATTTATGCATTATAAAACTTGCTTGAAATGCTTTTCCAACATTTAGCCGCTTTTTAATGACATTTTATCAGCTGTAATAAATTTCTCATCATTTTAATTTTTGTTTGTACATACAGTGTAGTGTTATTATAACAGTTCCTAATTTTTACGAAATGAAAGAGAAGTTATCAGACTCTAACCAAAATAATGCTATCACTGTAAAAATTGTTTAAAATTATTCTATAGCTTTTCGTTATTTTTATTTAGTTGCTGTATGAATTCTCTAACAAGCCGTTGTGTCTTATAAATACCATATGTATGTTTTCTGTACTTTATGGTACTTAAATCAGATTTTGCTCAGTGGTAAAAAGATATTTGAATATTTCTAATGAGTATTTGTGCATTAGAATTGGTCAAGTATTTCGGAAAAGTTGACTTACCGAGGCCTTGGAAATTCAAAATAAATTCTGTTTTCCAAAGTTGTCAACCTGTTTATGATGATAGCTCATTAACATAAGTTTGTACCATAGAATATATGCTTATATTTTTACTAGAAATCTGTTCTTACCTGCTTGTGTTAAAAAAAATGTTTAAAATGAACACCCCATGGATGTTAGTCGGGATGAACGACCTAGTAACTGGCTAATCAGAATGAATGGGATGGACTTTCATCAAACTTTATGAACAAAATTAAATATTTCTTCAAAAGAATTTAGCGATATTTTGATCAAATGGTAGGAACTGCTTTTCCACTGTCATGTAATTCATTGTCTTTAAAATTTTTCGGTTTTATCATACATATATTTTAATTTTGAATTCTTGACTTACAGGGATAACAAAAGAAATTTTCGATAAGTCTTGGAGAGGAGACATACCTTGGGAAATCCATAATAGCGATTGGAGTAAATGAAAAGAATATTCACTGCGGAGCTTGCATTCACTGCGGAGCTTGCATTCACTGTGTGCGGACCAAGCAAGAATCCATTCATGAAGAATTTCCTGTGGATGTGTTTTATTCATTCCCTGCAGAATAGCCATTGTTAATTTATACTTTATGGAGCTAAAATTGTGATACATATGTATAGAAAGCATTTAAAAAAACATGTTTACTCAATTGTAATGAATTCTTTGTTAACTGTTTGGTGTAGATTACGGTGCAAACTATGACATGTATGCAAATATATACAAATTTTTTTAAAAAATGGTTGTATATTTGCTATACAAAACTATAGACAAAATTTTACTGAAGACGTGTTTAAGGAGAGACTTTATGACTGGATGTGGAAAGTGGACGATTTATTGAGGCTGAAAGAGAATAATTTGCTACTTGTATGTGCACTGCTGCAACACATTACAGTATCCATTTATGGTTGTCGAGATAAACAATCCCACATGGAGGCTGGTGACCTACTTACTGGTGAACAATGGATAACTAAATTTGTGTCCGTTTCTTTACAGCCTTTACGTTTCTTTCTTTAGAGCAGAAAGTACAGGAATCCAACATATAGGAACAAAAGAGTCCCATAAGGCATAGAAAGTCTTCGTTGTGAATTCTGGGGTGTAATATATATGCTTATACATGTATACAGTGATGAGGGTTTCTAACATTAAGCCCTCAGGAACAAATGATCTCTGTTTAGAAGCATTCAAGGCCATGTACATAATGCTTTTTAGAAGATACTAGAACAGGATGGATTTTAGAGAGACACTTCGGTTGCTGGAGCAACATTACAGTGAGCATGCCCAGAGAGATATTACCACTCTAATGTACACACAGAATGTATGGCCACTTTAGATGGCAGTTTTTTCGCAATATTAAAATTGCCATGTTGCCAGGTGGTAGCAATAGAGAAGTGACCTGAATAGTGGTTTAAATAAACAGATCGTTGGTATATACAGGTACAGCTGTCTGACCCTGTACAATACAAACACCCATCCTTAATGTGATGACGATTTTCTCCACACAAAACATATGTACAGTATCTCCGCCACGTCAAAATTCACCATATATATACATATATACACGTGTTGTGCATAATATTTGTCTGTCATGATTCTGAATGTAATGACCTTTTCTTTGAAAAGTGAATTTTACCAATTTTAACAGTTGTAATGAAGCCTGATAGAAGAAAAATGCATTCATTTTTTTTTTTCAATATTTCAATCATGAGGTATGACAGTGGATTTGGCCTACTGGGAGTAGTCTGTGTTGCGCCTAATGGTATCATATGGAGCCTGTCAGTCTACTGGTTTCAACAAGACTCCCTGATGGATAATCTTTCAAAATGAAATAATGTTATATATTAAGCTCCCTTCAAGATCAAATGCTATTCTATGTGGCTTCGTTCGCTGTAAAATTTCCTTGATCTGTGCCAGTATGTGCTTCATCATTTCATATTTTGATTTCGTATTTTGTCATCGTAAATAGAAGATACAGTATTTTTTTGTTTTGATATACATGAAATATGATGATCAATACCTTTTTAAGTGTAAGTGTGAAACTGATGTTTATGAATGTCTTTGTTACCTGTCCTCTAGACAAGGCTTTAAGAAATCTCTCTTCATGTACTATAGTAATATAAGCTTGACTCTCACCGTTTACATTCAAGTGTTCTCATGGTCCCTTCTTAAGCTTCAGGTATATCTTTGCCAGGTAACGATTCCGATGTTCCCATGCTGACTTATTTGCATCACTTGCCCTACTCGTGTGGAAGTCTTCAGGTGTTTCAAAGCTCCTTCATTGGCATCATGTGTTCAAGCAAGCTAAAATAGGACAAGAGCCACATTAGGCCATGAAATGATTAAGAGTTATTGGCAATGAAGAAAGAATGTGTCATCATTCATTGATTAAAAGTGTTTAGATGTTAATGTGCTACAATATTTTTTCTCTCAGTTAAAATTAAACCAATACCTGGATTGTACTTAAAACAAAAATTTAAAAAATTCTGCATGATATGTCATTTCGCTGATCTTGAATTTAGACATTCCCAGTGTACCAATGTCTGTTCCAATATGAAATCAGTCTGCACATCTGTTTTATTGCCAACTTTCATCTAAAATTCCACTCAACTGCACATTTTAATCCTTCAGGTAAAGACATGCTGGAGCAGCCAGATCTGTATATCCTGGGTGTGCTGTAAGGGCATGCATGATAGGGTACTTTAAAACACACATGTACTGTAAGAGAATTGAAGAATTGTATCCCATTTGAATATTTGTAGGTTTAATGAACATTTTGTTTAATTTTTGTTAAATTCCAACAAATGATGCAGTTTAATTCAAAATCTTTAACGATAGTCTAGATCTGAAAATGTGATACATTTTTATTATGGTATGTTTATTTAACGATACTCTAGATCTGAGAATGTGATACAGTTTGTATAACAGTGTAATTATTTCCGTGTGCTTAGAGCAGAAAAATGACGTAATTGGATCACTGTTGAACTCTACAAAAGATCTGTTATCTGTGAATATCTCAACTTAACTTTGTGTGTTGCATAGTCAGCCAGAGTTATTGAAAATGTCCATTTGGAACATCTCTTATGTTTTGTGCAGAAAAGAATGGAATACTCAATCCGATACCTCTTGAGAACATGTATTTCAAAGAATGTTTAAACCGATAGTTGTACAATGTACAAGTTTCATTGTTTTAAAGTGTGTTGTCAGTGTCCCTGTGTTGAAGTAAGTTTTATTTATGCTGTTTATGTGTGTTGTTTTTTATTGTTGCGTCTGTCAAACAGGTTCAGTTATGTATAGAAACATTAAGAATTTTAAATGTTACTAATTGTTTAACCGAATTCAGTCTGTTTTCACATCAATAGTCTAATACAAATGAATTAAGATAACTATTCAGGTTGAAACAAGATTTGAAATTAGATATTAAAAAACTGTTTTATATTGGTATAGGAGTGTTAACTACCACAAGATACATAATCTTTAACAAAAGTAAGATAAATAGTTGTCAACTTACGCTTAATACCTTAAACGCTTAATTTCCTAATTAAATCGAGTTCTATTTAACTGGAACCCAATTATGAACATTGTTTAGACATATTCCAATGAATACAGAAATCATAAACATAATAAAAGTGGTGGTATGTAGTAGCCAGCCTTCTGAAGCCTATAAAATGTTAACGTCATTTTCATAAAGCGTTTTGTTAGATACTTGTGTTGTTAGTAGATACTGCTAAACTCGTAGATCATTGTCTGTTACACTGGTCACATGTTAAATCTTTGTCATTGTTATAAATGATTTTAGAGTAAATTACTTACCGATGTAAGAAATTCTGAAATGGATAGATGATACATATGCAGAGAGAAAGTTGGATTAATTGATAATCAGATAGATGGCTTTGTAAGGATCGTGATGGGTGTCTGATATATACGTACGGTTTTCATATTTGATGCTTTAAAAATGTCGTAGATCTAGAAACAGTACAAAACTTTCTTTTAAAGAAGCTAATCCCATTGTGCAATATTTACAATAACTAGATGTAGATAATAATGCATGTTATAGTGTTGGTTATTACTGAAAACTTCTAAATCTTCATTACAAAATGAAATTATTGAAGAATGAAAAAGAAGCATGGCAATTTATATACATAGTTAGGTTAACTCATCCAACAATGTATTTGAATTAACAAATATGCTGAAATTGATGGCAGAAATTGGCTCGAAGTTCATATAAAAATATTTGTCAAATCTGAAGATGGTTGTTTTTTTAAAAGTATTTGTTAGTTATTAAGGAAACCAATGTGATGTTAGTCTTTCATAGTTGATAAATTACTCATATCATTTTAAAGAGTTGTTTTAAATGTGTAAAGTTTACTTAATTGTATATAATGCATTGTTCAAGTTTAGAAGAAAAACATCTAAATTAAACGCGTTTTCTTTGAATTTTTTTCCCGTGACTTTGCGGGAAATAAATTACAGTTTCAGGATAATGCCATGTTCTTGAATGTTGTTGCTGCTGTTGGTAAGTCAACCTTAGTTTTTCTATGACTAATTTTGTGTTTTGATAATATTCTACCTGTTAAATGAATTATGGTTATTGTTGTATATGTCAGCAATAGAACATTATAAACATTTTCATCAATATTAACCGGATAATAAAAATGAAATATTTGACAAATTTTTGCTAAAAATAAATTTGATATTACACTCCAAAATCCATTCGTCTACTTCTAATTTCAGTTGTATAGATGTACTTCCACAAGCTTGCTAAAAATCTAAACTATCGAATGTTTAAGAACAAATAGGTTTTGATCGCAGTTTGGGTGTTGATGAAAATCAACAGACCTGTATAATGAATTTGTAGATTTCTGATGTACATTTATTTTGGTGCAATGTAATTGAAATAATATTGTGTGGTTTGTATCATTTTCTGTTTTTCGTTCCAGCTAACAATGTACAAAAATAAAAAAATGAAATGACAGATGGGATTTTAATTAGATTAAATTAATTACAAACTACTTAACTACATTAGGAGGTACGCAATCAAGAAAACTTAAAGATAGAATTTCACATTAATATATCTACGTCATTAGGTTAAAATGGAAAGACTTAATCATGAATGATATTTTCTATCCTTACTGAAGTTAATGTTAAATATCTGCTATATCGATATAGTCATATTAAGATTCCAAGCAAACTTTTATGCATTTTTTTGGCAACCAAATCATAAGGCTTGTTGTCTTGTACCAAATGAATCATGAATGGCGGTTTTCACATCTTAATTATACAGTGGAGTAATATGTAAATGTTTCGTGTTTGTTTTTATACTGTTAATAGTGAATTTGTTTTATTGTTTTTCATCAGAATATGATATTACATGTATTATGTACAGAGGGAGAAATTCTTTTGTTCCTCGTTAATCCAGTCACCTTAATTTTTGTTATAATAATGTCCATTTGTGTCATGTTATCAAGACGTGTTGTTCTCTACAGTTACCATTCTAACACAACTATTTATACATCGTATTATGTATTTGTCTTCAAAAGAATAAATGAGAATATTTACTTTTTATATAAGACATTGTGTTATTTATTACCTGGTTATCATGAAAGAATCATCTTCTACGATGATAAATTACCTCAGTTATCACTACTGACAACATACATGGGCAGCTGCAGCTTACGCTCAGTTTCCATGCTTACATGTAAAGTACAAACCCATCAATATACCAAGTCTTTAATTTCTATAAACACAATAATCCTGCCTCCCCACCTACCTTACTTACATGTCGCAGTTTCATTCTGGTATCAAATATTGACTACTGATAGAAAATCTTCACTGTTTCCTTGTACAAAATATAGATGAGTGTATTCAATAAATTTATATTCATGGTGATTTCCTCCTTATCAAACAAGATGTCATTCAGTTTCTACTATTTTGATAATTTGACATTTCTCAGATTAACCGAGATTCACATTGCGTGTGATCAAAGAAGGGTGACATGTTTTGCTTGAAAATCGAAAAAAAAAAAAAAAAAAATATGGATTCCTGTACTGTTGGTAGTTGTACCCATCTGAACACAGAAAAGTACATGCTGTACAAAAGAGCTAAAGTTAGCTATAATTTCATATTATTGGCTAACTGCTTCAATTGTAACATCTACCTCGCCAAGGAAATGTCATCAAGATGGATAAAATAACCTTTCATGGATACTTCCCTATAGTGCCAGCACACTGAAATGTCAAAAGACATTTGTTCACATATTATAACAACAGGCATTCTAGACTACATTTCAAGTGAAGTAGAATGTCCAGCAGAGAACAGATAGTTTGTAAACTATACTGGAGGGTATCCGAAATACTTCTGAGTAAAGATGAATTGTTCAGTACTTTCCACAAAAATGTACGATTTGGGTGAAGATTTTGATATTGTGAATTTTCCATTTATAGATAATAACATTCCTACTGTAACCTGCAGTAACATGCTAGGGGTTTTATAGCTTTGTTGTGACATGGTATATCATGATAACTTGGATTGAGGCAGATGTCGTTGATGAAGCAGAAAACGTTTACCCTTCCGAAACGCTTATCCCTCATTTTAAGAGTCGCCGTGTAGATATTTCTTTCCTCCCAATTTGATCCAATTTAATCGATTTTGTGTTTGAATTAAGATGCTGTAGATATATTGGCATTTTCTTGCTTGTTTTTAGGCCACCATCATCAGATTCAAATCGCTCTGCGTCTGTGGTCCGTCCTTCCGTCGGTAAACAGTTTTTGTTATTGCTATTTCTTAAGAAACACTGGACGGATCTTTCTCAAATTACACGTGTGGGTTCCCCTTGATCCCTAGTTGCGCCCATTCGATTTTGAGACTGATCAGAAAAAACAAAATGGCCGACAGACGGACATCTTATATTTTGACTTCGAAAGTTTGTTATCAATATTTCCTGAGAACTACTTTATAGATCTTTCTCGAATTTCATGTTTAGGTCCCTTTAGGTCCATAATTGTACCTGTTTGAGTTTTGGGACTGATTAGAAAAACAAAACTGGTGACAGGCAGCCATCTTTGATTTTGCCTAGTAAAGATTGTTATTGCAATTTCTTAAGAAATACTGAATGAATATCTTTCAAAGGAATGTTCAAATGTCTTATCATTAAGAGCAAAACAGAGAAAAGAAAAGAAGGGAAAAGATCCAACTTCCAAAGAGCGTATAAAGATAAAACAATGGTGGGCGCCAAGATCCTTCTGGGATCTCTTGTTCATTGATCAAGTGTTACTCCTCATGAATAACCATCCTCGATTAGGATTACACTAATCACTGATAAAAGTGACGTGTAACGTATTTCGAAAGAAGAGACGATATAAGAAAAAACGCCTACCTATTGACCTCTAACGTATCGAACAATAAAGATAACCGATGGATACAATTCGTCTGTCCACGAAGGCTAACGTCAAGAATGAGGACTCATCATTTTTTTCGGTTAGTCATTTTTTCCTTTTCTTGACAGTAACCATCCTGCTCACCGCATATAATATACAAAACGGACTTCTTATAACATATTTAAGGAAACCTGCAGATTCATTAATTAATTTAGGAGATAGATGGAAACGTTTACTCGGTAAATTTGAATCATATTTTAGAGAAAGAAGTAGCTTCCTTATGTTGGTTTGAATATTCCAATCAATCATGACCTAAGCCATGCTGAAATATTCATATAAAAACAAGAAAACACCAACATGCCAACAGAATCATAATGTTAACTCAAATTCAATTAAACTGGGGCATAATATGAACACCAAAAATATTTAAGAGACTACAAGGACAATAAGACCAGGTGCTCCGGAAGAGAAAGCGTCTTCTCCTTTAGGCAAGTCTTTGCCTCCGGAAAATAATAATAAGATTTATTTATATATTTATTTGAAAATTGAAGCACACAACTGCATTTTTCGTTACTGGTAACTTAGCTTCTAGCAATGATGACGTGTTTTGTATATTTGTTGTGAACATGTGTGATGGGTACTGAAAATGAAGCGAAATGAGGGGTTTTATTTTAATAAGGTTAAGTCAATGATAGATGAAATAGATTTAATCGTCGTTGAAATTAGAGTGTCATCAAATTCTACATCAAGACTTTTTATCCGGAGCAAAACCACATCGACATTTAAACAGCACCCACAAAGATTCACAGTCGCCGGAACCCTAACGTTCGTAGGTGATACAACAACTAGTGATAGGAAACGTCATGGAGACGGAAAACATGCAGCCAACCAACTATCCAGCTTACTAAACTTGTTATTTATAAAAGAAAAACAATAGGTGGCATACAAAAATTCAATTTTACGGAATTCGTGAGGTGAACTTTCAACTTTATTACTTATGAGAAAATATCAACAGGTCACTGGCATACCTATAGAAAGTAACTGTACCCCTCTCTTGACTTACTTGTTTTTATTTCCCTACGGAACTAAATTTATCGAAAAGCTTATCAAAACAGTCAAAAAAACCTTACAAGGTTGTTTAATTTCACTCTCAGTAATATTGATGACGTCTTGTCCATAAAGCAAATAAGAAATTGACTGACCGTGTCCATCGTATATACATTTGTATCCACCAGAATTGAAAACCAAAGATGCGACAGACACTCCTACATCAGCCGTTTATCATGATCTTTTCCAACAACGAACATTTTTTCACAAAGCTGAATGATACGTGTGATCATTTTAATTTCCCTGTTGTGAATTTTCCGTTTATGGATAAAAACATTCCAGTATCCCCAACCTATGGAATTTTCATGTCGCAGTTGATTTGATGTTCAAGGACCTGCACCCATTATCACGACTTTCGTGCAAGAATTCGTAACACCAGGTTCTAAAAGGGGCAGTTTGTTGAAAAGTATGGGGATGTTTTACGGTTGTCATAGTGATCTCATTGACAAATATTCTATTTCTTTGTGCGATATGCAACTGGACGTGTTTGATGCCCGTCAGTTTGCAAGTTGGTTGTGTTGTTGTATATCTTGCTCTCATTTGAGAACGTAACATTACTTACTTGGGCTGACAAAGAAGCTGAAGACGCTTACTCTTCCGGAACAAATGTCTTATTTTCCTCGTGCTTCTTCGGAAGTCTCGATGTAAATATTTCCTTTGTGCACGTTTCCCCCTAGTTACATTAGATTTGAGATTGAATTAAGTTTATATTGACAGGTTGCTATTCAGAAAAAAATGCATTAGGATTTTTCTATTTGAAAAATTATCGGCCTTCTGTACATCTATTTAATCTAATTATTCGGATGTTTTCTTACCTTTGTATTTCATTGTCATTCTTATGATAATTTATTGTAAATATTATAAATCCGGATACACCGGTTCCGAGTTCATAAAATGAACTTTAGTAGGGCGGAAGGAACGAAATGCACGTGAGAAAGCGGGCGATGGAATGGTTGCTCGAGCGTTTATGTTGAATTGGGGTACACCAGTGCAAAATATAGTTTGCGGTAAGTCTTACAACATCCCAAAAGTTCCTACGTTGAGTTATTTGCTGAAATTTGTTAATTTTGCATTTGTAGCATATAAATATACATGGATATAAAGTGCTTATTATGCAAACGGCTAATATACACTTGCACTGTCGATTAATTGTGAAAATAATAGTGTTTGTTTATGAAATACAAAATTCTGGGAAAATGAATAGTAAATGTGTAATTTAGTTAAATATATATATGTGATATAACAGGACACAATAAGTAGATATAGTCATATTTGTGTCGTTCAAACTCTAACCCATGATGACTCGAGGGCAGTGGCATAATAGATATACCATAGATGTAGTCCTGCGTGGACGAGAAAACTGTATGTACAATATAGTTCATTTTCTGGTCAAGACGGCCATTTATAGTCTTGTGTGGGCGGAGTAGATCGTGAATGCAGTCCTGTGTGGGCAGTTCTGCTGTATGTGGTCCTGTGTGGACAGCTGTATGATTTATTATCTGGGCAACCATGGCAGGAGTCCTGTGTGGACAGTTGGTCTGTTTACTGTTATATGTAATGGATGTCCTATGTGGGCAAGTAGTTTGTTAGATGACCCAATAGATAGGTTTCCGTTTTGAGGATTAGCCATGATCCTCCATGCGAGTGGCCATATTGTGTGGCAAGGTTTAATGTTCATCTCGACTCCATTGACCCAGGCAAATTTAAATCTTTTGTGTTGTTATAATGACGTCAACTTCCTCTAAACTTGGCAACAAGGTGAAGGTTGTGTACAGGGACACGTTGGACGATGTTTGTAAGGCGAGATACGACGAAAAATTGCTTTTTATCGGTGGCAAGGATCCATACACGATGACAAAAGAAGAATGGACAAATAAAACTGAGGCGTTCCCTGATATTCAAGAAATGGACATCGCCAAATATTTGATTCACACCGTCAGCGCGTATACTTTTGACGAGTTGAGGGGTAGGAAGTCTCAGGAAGCCTACATTTACTTTGTAAGTGGATGGGTACAGGACATAAAACATGCTACGATCAAAGATCGATGTGTTTTCACTGCCCGAGTACGCCATTCTCAACAAACCACTGATCCGTTCTTAGAGCCATGGTTAATAGCGGAGAAGAGTGGTAGTGTGATATGTGGACACTGCACATGTATGGCAGGACTAGGCGAAGTGTGTTCGCATGTATCGGCTCTATTGTTTGCTATAGAAGCAACCGTGACCCTGAGGAACAGCAAGACTGTAACTGAAGAAAAATCCTACTGGCTACTTCCTTCAGCTATCAAAAAGGTAAATTTTACACTACACTATCATGTACCAATTATACTGTCTGCATATGACCTGGGATGTTGCATGGACACTGAACCCCAATTCACTCACCCAGCTATAATAATGTATACATCCACTTTTTCCTGTAGATTATATGTAATCCAGTAATTTATAGATAAGGTAATATATGTAATCAATCATTACCAATGATGAGTGCACATGCAGTCATGTAAGTAATGAATAGAATCTGAAATTATGCATTGATTTTCTCTACATTTTATATTTTTCAGGTTGTTTATAAAACCATACAGCAAATAGATTTCACGTCAGCAAAGACAAAGAAAAGAAAGCTTGACTCAGCATTGAAAACTGGAGACACCCCCGCCCCATTAAAACAAAGGAAACTCCCAGATGTAATAGCCCCTACTTTACAAGAACTTTGTGACTTGTACAGAAATATCCACAAACTGAAATCAACAGGAAAAAAACCTGTGATTTTGTCATTACTTCCAAGCTATGCTGAAGAGCAGCTGAACTCTAGATGTGAACAAGTGTTTGATGATTTGTGTGTTACAGAGGAGGAAGCGAAAAATTGTGAAATGGATACAAAATCCCAAGCAAACTGCAAGCAATGGTTCTGTCTCAGAGCGGGTAGAATAACAGCATGAAGGATGAAAGCAGCCTGCAGAACTCCACTGGACAAACCATCTTTAAGTCTCGTGAAAGATATATGCTACCCGGTTTCCAGAAGTTTCTCAAATACTGCTACCCAGTGGGGCTGCCAACATGAGGAAAGAATCAGAAACCAGTACAGAAAAGAAATGGAGGGATTACACGAGAACTTTGTTCTCAGAGACAGTGGTTTAGTTGTAAACCCTAAGTAACCTTTCCTCGGAGCATCTCCAGATGCTATGGCCTCCTGTAACTGTTGTGAGGAAATTGTGGTGGAAATCAAATGCCCTTATTGCCAGAGAGAAAAAACTGTTAGTGATGATGTGGACTGTCTGGAAGAAGAAGATGGACAACTTCATTTAAAAAGGTGTCACGCATACTTCTACCAAGTACAATGCCAGCTAGTGTTAACAAACACAGAATGTTGTGACTTTGTCGTTTGGACTGAAAGGGACTTCTTCACAGAGAGAATAGTTTTGGATGAATTGTGATGCGTGCTTCCTTGCTATTCAAATATGTCATTTTAGGTGAATTAGTGGGGAAATTGTACTCAAAACGCAAACTGTTGAAGCTCAACTCAAATACAAATGAGACACAAACTTCAAGTGACATCATCATATGTACATGTCGGTCTGTCTACAGGGAAGGTGATGCTAATGTTATTGGCTGTGACTCGGAAAGCTGTCCATACCAGTGGTTGCATTTTACATGTGCCAAGATTAAGAAAATACCAAAAGGCAAATGGTACTGTAAGGAATGTAAGAAAAAAATGAAAAGCTAGTGAGAAATTAGTTCCAAGTTACTTGTTGTATTGTGTGATATGTATGTGAAGTACATGTATACTGATGGAGAACATTTGTTTTAAAACATGTTTTGTGTACATTGTATATGTATGATAAAAAGTGAATTGAACTGATATCACCATGAATATGAGACAGCTTACATTATTTAATTGGTGAATAAAACTATGAAATGTACCCAGTAGTTGCTTTTTTGTGATCTCACAAACCTCTAGGCTGCAGCAGAGCAGTGATCAAATTGTGAATGACCTAATCACTGATTAGAGATAAAAAAAAGACGATTCAAATACATGTTATTTTTTTAATTTGTATTTTATTCAGGTTTTTCAAAAAGACACATACACATGACAAAGTACAATATATATGTCTAGTGAAACACCTCGCAGACAACACTCATTCTATTGCTCTGATGCCACACACACACACACACACATTACATACAATACAGACATACATTACATGCATACATATACATATGTACATGCACACATCCATTATCAATACATGCAATTTTTATTACAAAGATCTTTAGGGAGGTTGTACAATACAAAATAGCACCTCAGTAAATTAATAGTACTTTATAAAACTATTCATCAAAGTCCCACAAAGAAACCACATATAAAGTTTCTTTGAATTGTTGGAAAGTAATTTTGAGAGATTCCTATCCATTTACACCCTGATGTATACACTGTATCTATATATGAAGCCACTTTAGTGAAAATGCAATTTTATCAATCAAATGGAACAACAGAGTCACAGAAATTTGTTAGTGCACAACAAACTGTTGTTATCTTGTCAATAGTTGGTATGCTATCAATATTGCTATGCAAGTAATCAATTGGTATGGTACTCTGCAATATTGTGAATTTGTTTCTAACAAGTCCTATAACTCTTTCAACATGGATTCTTGTATGGGCAATCTTTCTCATAGTTTCAAGTTCTACTGGAGACCGTTGACTTTTACCTCGAGTGAAAGCTGGTATTTTAACTTCACAGTTTAGTCCAACACTCTCTTTGATATCAAAGCCTCTATCAGCGAGAACAATATCTCCTGGTAAAAGTTTGTCGAGTAAGCCACAATGCTCAGTTACATATTTGTCAGACACTCTGCCTCCATATCCTTTTGACAAAAAGATACAGCACCTTGAGGGGTTATTCCAATAAGAAATTTGGCAGTATTATGGTGTTTATAATTGGACCACTTCTCAGATCTTGCAAGCAGGTTTGATGGCCTCTCAATGAAAACTTCAAAGCAATCAATAATTATTGACAGTTTCACACGAAAGTATTTCCGAAATTCCATGGGCATTGATAATTGTAGCTCTGCTCGTTCTGGCCACAGAATGATCGGTTTTAATCTAATGTACATCACATGAATTGTGTCGAGAAACACCTTTGACACACAACTTTTTGAAACTTTAAACCTGATTGCCAAGTCTTGAAGGCTGAGATTTGGTCGCAATTTCATCATCACAACCAGCATTTTCTCAAACTTTGTCAGTGAACTATTTACCCTACCTGGTATACTTGGTTCAAGAAAATGGTAAATAGTCATCAAGGTATCATGGTCCAGTCCAGTGTAGTGTTTTGCTTTCTCATCATCAAGTGTCTCTGGTGACAACACAGTTTCCTTCAGTTTGTCCTTCAACTCCATGTTTTCACTTGTGACTCTTTGTAGTTCACTCCTCATCATTTCCACAAGTTGTCCATCTGTTGGTGTGTCGTCTGCAGGTTTTTCACAGATATGATCATTTTCAATTTCAGCCTTATCTGTACCACAGGTAGTATCAGTACTGGGGACGATGCAGAGAGAAGTGTCCTTTTGTAAGTCTAACAGTGCCTCTGCAGCTTTGAATTTTTTTCACTTTCTCCTGTCTTGACTTTGCACCTTGGTACCTCTTTTTTGTAGATTGAGGATCTGGGGTGGGACAGCTACCTGGTAACTCTGGTCCCATTTTCTGAGATGGTGCCCAGTCTGGATTTGTGTTGTCATAAAGATCAGCCTTCTTTCCTGCAATAAATAAAATTCAAAATTCAAACAGACAATTAATACAAAAGTGTTCAAACAAACTGTTAAATGGATACCATACATATGTATTTAAAACAGATGATGCATGCCTTGTGTATTCATGTAATTTATATCTCAAACAGAATTTAAAATTCCAAATCACATTATTATCAGTACAAGATTTACTTTAAGTTGCACAGAGAAAAAATATATTTTAAATAAAATGACACGTTTATGACTCAATATGAGGGCCTTTGCAACTGATCCGCTGATGATCGGCCATGTTGATGTGTACTATGTATGTACACATACGTGTGCACACGTGACATGGGCTATAAACTTCCATCGTCACTGGTCTGTGATCCATGTTAATTATGAAACGAACACTTTAAGAACCAAACGAAAAAGTCCTATTTGTATCAATTTACCTGTGATGAAATGATCGGAGCAGACTTTATAGTGTCTTTTGTTGGGGTCTGTATCAAAGCCTTCTCGGTTGATTCTCGCCAGCCACAAGTTGCGTCTCTCGAGCAAGAGACTTTCAGTGATCTCTCCTTGGTGATGAATCACTTTTGGTATGTCAAAATACTGTCTTTTCGTCGAGTGAGGGTCTGCACAATTTGTACAGCCCCAAACAACACAGGTGTGAACCATTGCCAGAGGCTATTATAACTGTTAACAATAACTAATACAGTGACCATTCTGTAAACAATCACTTGACACACAAGATGGCGTCGTATGGAATTATGGGAATTATGTGACGTCATCGGAAATCTATCTATTGATAACTTATACTGTCTATTAATGAGCAGATCACCATATCTCTGTACCATGGAGTATTGTGACTGGAGCAGCCTTCATCCATGGAAAGAATGGGAAGAATCTGTGGACATTTCTGTGTATTGGTGGTCATTTCTGTGTATTGATTGACATTTCTGTGTATTGGTGGTCATTTCTGTGTATTGGTGGTCATTTCTGTGTATTGGTGGACATTTCTGTGTATTGGTGGTCATTTCTGTGTATTGATTGACATTTCTGTGTATTGGTGGTCATTTCTGTGTATTGGTGGACATTTCTGTGGGTGGTCATTTTTGTGTATTGGTGGACATTTCTGTATATTGGTGGACATTTCTGTATATTGGTGGTCATTTCTGTGTATTGGTGGACATTTCTGTGTATTGGTGGTCATTTCTGTGTATTGGTGGACATTTCTGTGTATTGGTGGTCATTTCTGTGTATTGGTGGTCATTTCTGTGTATTGGTGGACATTTCTGTGTATTGGTGGACATTTCTGTGTATTGGTGGTCATTTCTGTGTATTGGTGGTCATTTCTGTGTATTGGTGGTCATTTCTGTGTATTGGTGGTCATTTCTGTGTATTGGTGGACATTTCTGTGTATTGGTGGTCATTTCTGTGTATTGGTGGTCATTTCTGTGTATTGGTGGACATTTCTGTGTATTGGTGGTCATTTCTGTGTATTGGTGGACATTTCTGTGTATTGGTTGACATTTCTGTGTATTGATTGACATTTCTGTGTATTGGTGGTCATTTCTGTGGGTGGTCATTTTTGTGTATTGGTGGACATTTCTGTATATTGGTGGACATTTCTGTGTATTGGTGGTCATTTCTGTGTATTGGTGGACATTTCTGTGTATTGGTGGACATTTCTGTGTATTGGTTGACAATTCTGTGTATTGGTGGACATTTCTGTGTATTGGTGGACATTTCTGTGTATTGGTGGACATTTCTGTGTATTGGTGGACATTTCTGTGTATTGGTGGACATTTCTGTGTATTGGTGGTCATTTCTGTGTATTGGTGGACATTTCTGTGTATTGGTGGACATTTCTGTGTATTGGTGGACATTTCTGTGTATTGGTGGTCATTTCTGTGTATTGGTTGACATTTCTGTGTATTGGTGGACATTTCTGTGTATTGGTTGACATTTCTGTATATTGGTGGACATTTCTGTGTATTGGTGGACATTTCTGTGTATTGGTGGACATTTCTGTGTATTGGTGGACATTTCTGTGTATTGGTGGTCATTTCTGTGGGTGGTCATTTCTGTGTATTGGTGGACATTTCTGTGTATTGATTGACATTTCTGTGTATTGGTGGTCATTTCTGTGGGTGGTCATTTTTGTGTATTGGTGGACATTTCTGTGTATTGGTGGTCATTTCTGTGTATTGGTGGTCATTTCTGTGTATTGGTGGACATTTCTGTGTATTGGTGGTCATTTCTGTGTATTGGTGGACATTTCTGTGTATTGGTGGTTGTGTAAATGACTACTGAGTGACTTAGTGGATATCAGACTGTTATTTGCAGTGATAGTCAATTTAAGTAGAAGAATGAAAATCATAATATAGTAAGAGAGTGCTTGGTTATGGGAGAGGTATGGTAAGTGAGGTATATATGGGAGATGTGTTAACATATATATAGATATACGGGTATACATGGTGTAATAAAGTCTTGTAGATATTGTATATTTGGTGTTTGTGCATTCTCATATCAGCGATGTAAGTCGTGCTCGTCCAGGTTACAAATGGCCCAGAGTTTGTTTTCTTCCTACTTTACAATGTATATCATTCTCGTGTAACGACACTATTCTTTAATAACACCTACTTTGTCCTTTTCTTCAATGCTGTGGTGCATCGTAGCATTGTTATACACACATCTCCTTTTCAGCTGGAGTCTTCTTAGTTCAAATCAAACCGACGACAATAAAATATAGATAAATTTATACAGAAAAAATGACAAGTCAAACACTTCCTATATTTGACAATGATTTTATTGACCGATATCTGCCACAGTTAACAGCTCAATAATTCCGGATATAATTCAACCAAATATTTTCTCATTCACTTTATACACTTTTGTGTATTTGTTTATGTACATTTCATAATAACAACAAAATAAAACCCCAAATATACTGTTTACAAATGCAATGTGTCAATACAGTCTTCACATACATGTCGGGGCATATATTCCGCATGAAAATATTTCGACGTAATTTTTGCGTACTGCAGTCACGTTTATTTCGGCGCATTTAAATTTCACCATATAAGAAAGTTAACAGATAATTATGATGAATTGAGGTGTCTACTTTGCTACAGAAACTACTTTATCTGATCTTGTGATAATATTTAGTGCCTCGTATTAGGGTTTTGATATTTTCAAGTTGACCAATTAAATATGCACGGTTGTACCATGTGAATTAACCAATTACTCGGCCAGTTTCAAAAGTTCTTATTGAAAGAACTTTTAAATCATAACAGCAAACCTTACATGTGATTTAAGAGTTTGAGGATTGCACATCTGTTTTTTTCTGTTCATACAACCAGTATCCAGTATGCAATAAAAATGTTATGCATGCATACATAGTAGGAAAAATAAAATGTGAATTTTATGGAATACATGATCATTAACCAAGAGTATTGTTAAATTGAATATCTAGAAAAAGAAATTTAAGCTATGCTTTTTTTTTATACATAAAAATATGAATTTTATAAAAAAAAAATTTAAAAATCCAATAATTTTAATATTTTTATCTTTCAATACCTACAACATCAAAGAAATCAACTTTTCATTTTGTGTTCTGTTTGAATTAGTCATCCAATGATGTTAATGAAAATATGAGTTTACATTTTTCAAACGTACACGTAAATAACAGAATTGTGGGTTTGTTAGATTTTGTATGTAAATTAAGTATATATACTGCAAGTATCTATGGGCAATTTCAGATTCCAGACTTGTACACAACACAAGAGATACATGTTTGTTACTTTTCATATGGTGAATGTAATTTATCCTGACAAAGTGGTTCGGAATACAAAACTGTGACATAGAGATTAACAATATAAAGTATCTTATATATATATACAACGGAGGTTATCAATAAATTATGATGTGGACATTTGCTCATCAATACAGTTAGTAGTCATACAATATTTACACAACATACTGCAAAATCATACATTTTCGCGGGGATCGCATTTCATTTTTTTGATAATGATAAAAGATAAACTGTTTGGTATGGACCCGATTTTGTTGATAGGAATTTCAAACGAAATTGACTTGTTCTTCACTTATGTTAACTGGTTTTAATTTTTGATAATTGCTTGGTTTGTGGACATATTCGTGAATTTAGAGTACACACTCATTGAAGAAAATAAAAACCCACGAAAATTAATGATTATACATAACCGACATTTAATTATTTTTTCATAAAGGGAATGATATAAGAATATGTTTGGGCATCCGTTACAGGTGTGGTTTACCAAAGTTATCTTCGATCAGAGTCTGGAGGATGATCAAGGCTTGGCTAACTCAAATAGCTTAAAAGTCAAAAACATTTGATGCAATATACATATTCTGCGAATGAAACCAGTCTTCTGATGCACCTTTAGGGCAAATGAAACAGAGAAACAGTCAGATACTAACAGATATATTACTGATGTGTTGGTCTCATAGAAAGTTTGTTAATAATTCTCAGAAACTATTGTGACAAACAGGTCGAGTTAGCCAAGTCTTCATCAAATTTATTGGTATGGTAATTCATTATTATCACAGGTTCTACGCCCCCTTGCCAACGGGAGCCCCTCCAAGGCCCTTGGCAACTGCACCTAGCAATGGGAGTGACATCCCAGCATTCATGACCTGTAAAAGATATGAAAAGGTGAGACATTTTAATTCAATTATAATAAAATGAAACATCTCCATTCCCTGTGACAACCAGCAATACAACCACCACCAATTAAAAATCAACTTCAAGCTTTTAAAGCAGGCAAATCCAATTATGACTTTGTATGGATATAAAAGTCAAAAACAAATATATTGTTTGCTGACTACATGAACATAATTATCTAGATATTTGTTTAGTAAATTATTCAGATCAGGGCAACGTATCTGAAGGTTCGACCAAATACATAGTGTTGTGCTTAATCTTGTATTACTTTAATCGACTTTGTCAACATTAGGTAGAAAAACACACTGATGTAGTAGTCAAAGAGTTTAAATAAAGTTAAATATTACATTTACTTACTACTGATATTGAAATTTATTTTTATTAATTTATTTGTCATTTCGTTCAGATAAATTATATCAAATGCAAACAGCTTAATGTAGAAAATGACCAGTAGCACTTTGCTAAATTTTAACAATCATATTTAGTCACAAAAATGCTGTGGAAAAAATCAATACCATGCCTACATCTTTTTTATTGGGATTTCAATGTCAAACCTGCGGATATATTGATCATTGTATTCAGTAAATAGGATTTTATCTAGGACTGCTAGCTTTCCAGGCACTGAGACCTATCAACATATCACCTTATACTTTTATTAATCTTTTTGACTGACATAATCATTTCAGTCTTGTGTGTTGTTAGGAACATTAAGAGTTGTAATTATGAAGATTTTTTTTAAAAAAACCAATTTTTTTTTTCTTAAAATCCATTCGATCAAAACTTGCTTTGGGTTTTTGTGACAATTATAAAAAAAAAAAAGTACCGTACTTATTTGAACAGACTCGTTTCTGTCGACATATGTGAAGTGGTCTGACATCTACAAACACCTGTTTTTTACTGACGAAATGTAAATTTTTCTTCTGTTTGATTGATTAATCTTACCCAATCATCATCTAGATAATTCCACAAACACTTGAGAGGTAAATGTAATAATGCTACATATTTAGGTTTTGAAATGTGTTATGTCATGTCAAAGGTTTCAAAACAGTAGGCCTTAACCATTTCTGACAAGTCACAATGGATTCTGGAGTCCAAAAAAGAGTTTAAAAAACCCACTGCAATACAGTTTTATTTCAGAATTTTATAGAAATGTGCCATTAACTTGTGTCTTTTGTACAATCTCTGAGATTTTAGTTGGTAGAATTTTTTATTCAACTTTTGCTGTTAGCTTCGAATCACGTTTGAATTCATTTGAATAATGACAGGGTTCAGAATATAGACATGATCTTGATGTCCTTTTGAAATAATCAAATGTTTGAAAATTATGTAATATATTGAATGAAATCTGTACATTTCCTCATCAACGTTTTTGGAAATAATCAAATATCTGAACATAAGAAAGAAATTAGTGCAACCCCCATCCCTGGGTAGATTTTGACATAAATTTTGGTCAATCTTTACTTTCCTTAGTCATCTCCTTAGTTTCAATACTTAAGGCTGTTTAACTCATTAGTTGGCCTTGCTGTATCTAACTTGCTTGTATTGATATAGACTACTTACTTGTATGTCTGTTTGGAAAACTTTTGAAACAAAATGTAAACATTTGAAATCATTGAACGCATTCGAATATCACGAGGATCTCCCGGTAATTTAAACGTGAAATCAATGGGTTTCATATTGATGTTGCTCCTCTGAAAACCTTATAGGACAAACAATACCAGCTTCGCGATTTGACATGTTTTCTACGTATGGAACCAATAATATGACTTAAAGCATTTGACTTTCTCTTAACATTACAATGGTACACAGATTTTTAACTAATAGATTAGAGGAGATCGAAGTAAGCTTTGGCATAAGGATTCAATCGAGATATTTACAGTATCACTTGTATAAATCATTTGTGTAATCCTTTTTACATTCCAGCCTGCTCTTACATTAGATTTGGGTATTGATGAACACAATCAATCTGTAATTTTGAAGGACATGTTTTCCTTCATTCTTTTGGAATTCAATCCGACTAGTATGTATATTGACGGATCTTTGTGATATTAATAAACACAATATATTCCTACAATTGCTTTCACTCTCTCTCTGTTATACACCTGTTGCCCACTTAATGATACAGATATTTAAAATTGATATGGGAACCTCTTTTGCAATAAGGGTTTTCTTGTTTACCTTACAAAGCGATAGAAAGTGAGGTTTGTTGCACCCATTGCATGGCTTTGTATTTTATTTCCACTGTTTTTTACACCTCGTTAGGCAAGACCTTATGTTCACTTCTGGTCATCCGTCAATGTAAGGAGGGTTATAAGCCTATACAGTTTACAATGTGGTTAGAACAGAAAACTTGTCAGTCTAGTCATTTTGGGATGATAAGTCTACAGAGGAACATTGTTTTTTGCTTTTGGAATGACTTAAAAACGAACTCCAAGAATCCCAAACTTTTGGATATGAGTAAAGTTACATATTCCTTAACTTTGAAGAGTATACAAATCATCTATGCCCAGAGTTACATGTTCCTTAACTTTTAAGAGTATGCAAACCATCAATGTTTTTCTTCAGCAAAATATTTGTTGTTTTATATTTTTCTGTAACACCACCAGCAAAAATCATTTATCAAGACGTTAAGGCCTGTGTACGACTTTAAGCAGTGAACATTTCATAGAAGTAAATATTAAATTACCATTCTATTAAATTAGATCTTCAGAATTATTTCACTGGATTATAAAAGTTAGTGATTAAGATCTTTCCATACAATAACCAGTAGCAGATTTAGCTGCATCAATTTTAATGTTATTTCACCCATGCAATGCATACGAGTTCAGTTAATTAAATCCACACAGTGTGTTAGATTACGTTTAAGCAAACCAAACCAACAAAGGTGAGAGGAAAACAAACTTGACATGTTGTTACCGAGACACACCATAACATGTTTCGTTAAAATAGGCAAAAAAATAACAAAAACACAAAAACTATTTCGAACTAACCATTTAATTCAGATTGAGCAAAAACAGAAATCATCTTTTTTTTAATATTTACAATGTTTGCTCGAGATAACGTAATAACAAATAAAACAAAAAAATATTTTGCTAAATATTGTAAATATATACCTATCTATGAGTGATCTCATTGTCTCAAGTAGTGAGAAAAAAAATGTATGTGGGAATGGCAAAGACTGCAACTTCCCCTGTAGTTAGATCATAACAAACCCCAAGTAGTTGTTATTCTCTCGTTGTTCTGCTAAATAAGAAGTAAAAATAACAGTGCCTTCAAAAATATCTATACTAATATTATTGGTGCCCCGAGTTAACAACCTGATAGTCTCTGTTATATATTTCTAATGTGACAAGTATTCCAAATGCTCTTGACTTGTTTCGTTATTTGTAAACAATTAATTTACCTGTAACATATTTTAAAAGAAATATGTAAGATAACACATTTTTATACTGGAAATGAAGACATTATGAATCTAATTAGATAAAGTATAATATTACTACCAAAAATTAACAAACCCTTTGATGAAATAACAATGCATATATATCAGTACTATAATGCAGATTTAAAGGTTGTTCATACTAATGATAAAACAAAGTCAAACTTGTACTGATATGGTTGGGACTACAAAAAATATCGACATAACATATTTCAAAAATCGGTACATCCATATTTGGATACAGAATATACATGCATCATCACATGATTTATATATGATGTACATATCTAAAGGTAAATAACTTGCAGAACAAACTATTGGGCAATACTAGTTACCTGCCGTTGATAAATGCATAACAGTTCTATATATATGAATTTGAATATAAAGACTTAATGAAAATAATCATAGAAAAGGAAATTGCTATGCGAGACAAAACAAGAATTTAATAAATTGTAAAGGATAAATCTACGAAATATACATCGTTCAAAACCTTCGAATATAAATTAAATTCTATATGATGAGAATACGAAATAACAATTCCACAGTAATGATCTTGGTTAAAGTTTATGTTTTAATTTAATTTCAACACAGAATCAAATTAATTTTAAGACATGTTTGCGATTGAAATTGTACATATTCACAGGCTTGGAAAGCAAATCAAGAGTACAAAGTTTGGGCAGGGGTCACACAGGGGTCAGTTGCATCAGGAATGATAACGAATCGGTGTTTTATCATCAAACAATCACATCAACAAATGGAATTAACACAAGTTAATTTTCAATGTTTAAAAAAAAATTACACACATATTTTACTAAATATTTTCTATAACAAGGTGCAACTGTTCTAAATCAATCACTAAACTGGGTAATGATATTAAAAAAAAAAAATTTCAAAAAACGAACTGATGCCAGAATGGCAACGATTTACGAACTGATGCCAGAATGGCAACGATTTACGAACTGATGCCAGAATGGCAACGATTTAAAGTATTAAATTAGTATATACATAATATGACAAATCAGTGCAATGTAAGATAAATACTAATAACTGTCATGGTAAATATGATTTTGGCAGGACAAATTGTGTAACATTTATTAAAATGTTTCTACAGTTCAATCACTTCCTTATCACCTCATAAGTGCTTCATGTATGATAGTAAATCACATTTAAACTGGCTTCAGATACCCTTAATAAAGCAGTGAATACTCGTCGATGCTTCAATTTATACACGAACATCCTTTTGACAGATCAACCGATCAAAAAGTTGAAAAAATTGATTGATAAATCCTTTTGAAAGCAAATAAATAAAAGATATGTTTAACTTTGAACAAAAACAAACTACATATTAACCTTAATATTCCCTAATTAACTGACTATACAACCTTAAGTCAGAATCATTGATGGCCAATTAGCATTTACAGTTTTGGCAGCAACCTTAATTTCAATAGGTACATCTCGGAAAATATCAGGAAAAGTTCTGTTGGAATGTTGTTGAATCCAATGTTGTGAATATAAACTACTGGGGATGTACCTCAGATATGAATGCAAATTCTTCTTTAGACCATATATTATACATAAATGTAAAGTATTTTAAATCAACTTAAAAGTGACTCGCATCTTTGTATTATTCTGAATGAAAATGGAAGTCTATTAACATTTTGATGGACTGTCATTATTAACATTTTGATGGACTGTCATTAGGAACCACTAACATTGTACAATGTGTAATATTTCAACATACTATTTCATTTAAATGATTTTACAGACATGACAAGACACATTGGATACATTGTAACAATAAAATTGAAAACATAACATCTTCATCATGAATGTTGGTATATTAGACTTATTTCATCACCATGTCATTATAAGACTTAAATTTGATAAAGGAAAGAGATTTAGTAAATCAGTTTATCCCAGGATTAAAACAAACCAAAAGAGTAGATGGGATATAGATAACGTGTTTTAAATGAAATGTCTTTTTTTCTTCCTCACACATTTGGGATATACCACTATTTTGTGATAAATGAATCCATTGAACGTCCTCATAGTTTAAGTAAGAATTTACCAATAATGACGTGATGCTGAGAAGTCAGTCTTAAAATTAAGAAAATATATCGTCCTTTAACACATGAAGAATAAGTAACAAGTTATTTGATCCAGTTAGTTAACAAAAACTGATTGTTAGTAATTTAATCTGAAGCATGCATCAAAAACCTGTTAAACATGGTGAAACATTGTTAAAAGCTGTTTTCAGTCTGAAAAATTGGAACTTTACACACCAACAATGATTGGACTACTACGGATGCTGATGTAGATATGATTTTTACAGCATCCCAGTGCATTGTGAACACCAGATATTTTATAATAATTCCTATTTCTAATATAAAGGTTACCAGACATTTTTGGTTTACATATACCACTTGAACACACTCATAACAAGACATTATTCTCTACTATAGTATAATTTCTGTTCACATGTTCATATATTTTTGTTTTTTTTTATGTACAACATAATGCAACAATTTTACTATTTAGTGTACAACGTCATACATTAGATAGTCGAAATGTTCCACCAAATCAACGTTTTGTAAAATTCTACCCAAGTACAAAATATAACTAGGTGATGAATTCACAGAATAGATGTTAGGTGACTCACTGTTGCAATCCATCTGATATTCTTACAAAAAGATTTTTCGCATTATCAACATTGAAATTTCTTTTTGCATTATCAACATTGAGATTTCTTTTCGTATCATTTACACTGAAATTATCAATATGAGTACTGAAAATCTTAATCCCTCGCCCCGGAGTTTCAGTACTGAAAATGTAACCTGAAATTACAAATTCTGATGTGATAGTTCAAGGTTAATATGTTACAGAACTTGATAAAAGTCCTCGACTGTAGAAAGTATATCAAGTGTCCACACCATTACCATACAGTAACTTACAAGGTGCCCAAACACAAGGAACTGCAGTCAGGTAGAAGATGCTAATTACAAAACGGTATCATTCTATAAATAGAAAAAGAAAACGCAACCTCAGAGGGAGAAGAACCATCACAGGTATATATACTCATGCATGTATATTATAATAACTTGTAGTACGACTTTAACAAAACAATTAACAATGTCTTCCTTGTACAAAATATAACAATAACAATCCCTAACTACAACATCACCTTTCCAACACGTTCTTTATCTAAAATAACCTTTACCATTAAAACTTCATTAGATAGAACTCTTAATAGGCATAGGATCATGAATAAATTTTAGAAGACGAAATTTGAAATGTTGATGAAATATTTGTTTTAAAATCAAGTTTGATGAAATGTTTTCATACGGACATGTACAAGTATGTAAAATTATGTCGGACCAATCAGTGCGGACTGGAGTTCAAATTCTTTAACGATCCCATGAGTTCTTACTATTACTTCCCAAAAAATGTTATCACTTAATGAATATAATATAACTTCAATTTAAATTTTAAAAAACTCATAATTGTGTTGCTAAATTAGAATCTTTTTTCCAGATTACCAAAAAAAAATGTTATACATAACAGATTTTACTATAGTATCATTTCCTACTGTTACAATTGTTCAAAGTTTTGTTGTACTCATTACTTCACAAAGCGCAACAAATTATAAAACTTTTGCCAAACATTGATTAAAATTTTGAAAAGAAAATGTATGACATGAGAGAGTCTGAAAATAGCTGTACTGTTAATTCATAAGTCTTTAGATATTGCAGAAAATTTTGATTATTTTTTTCTCAAGGAAGTAAACTCTATCTATATCAGTAGGATACATCCAAATTCTCACTCTATTTTAGATATATATTATAAATCAATCTTATGGACTGTTCTCAATTTTTAAATTCAAATTTGTCAATCAGAAGATCTACTAAAAACTCCCAAACAATGGCAAGTACATTTGATGAAGTCAGTAAATTAATTTAAAAAATAACTAACTCTTTTAACTCATTCGTAATTTTGAAATTCAAATTTTTCAACTAGAAAAAACAGTTTTAACTTCTGCAAACTCTGGCAAGTTTATTTGACAACATAAGTATTATCTGTTTTTTAAATGATGAGCCTGTAAATATGACATAACATTTATTTAAATTTTTTAATTGTTCATTATTTCAAAAATTCAAGTTTGTCAACAAGAAAGAGCAGATTTAATGTGAAATAATCTGGCAAGTATGTTTGACAAAGTTATCTTTTTCATGACTGAGACAATAAATTAAAAATGAATAATCATTAAAATCTTATAATTACCAGAAAATGTTGTCTAGGTATGACTGATATATCTTGTACTTTAGTAATTTTGAGTCAGTAAATTAAACCAGAAATACAATATATCAATACCATTTCAGCCATCCTTCTAATCATCGAAATTTAACAGATCTGTGTCGGCTAGCATTAGATGAAAAAAAAAAAAAAAAATCTTGATGTATTGTCAATAATTATTAAAAAATTTTTTCAAATTTCATTGTTTTCATTATCATTCTAATTCACTTTTTCATTTTCAAAATGATATTGCAAATACCAGTTAATTTGTTTTCATGACAATAATTAAAGGATGGCTGTTATCCAGAGAGAAGAGAGTTCATGCTTAAATTATAATAATGAATTTATTAGTTATGCCAAAACAGCAATGTATAGAAATTATTGAAATAAAAATGCTCAGATACAAGTCAAGAAGCATTCCATGGTCAAATTCTATTATGTTACGATGGAGTTGTCTCCCTTTAATTTTCGTTGTTAGACATGTCATCACTCTCGTGTATTGGAATTTTCTCAAAGTCTTTAACAAAAATATGAATCAGCAATTTATTTTCTAATCATGCTTTCTAAATAAAATTTTGAAAATATATATAAATGTATAGATGCAGTGCAATGATAAAACAATATAAATGTGCCAAAAATAAATACATCACCAGCCAAAATAACCTAACTGAAATTAAAAGATGTTGGCTACTGACTCAGCAGAATTTCAAGTTTAAATCAACCTCAATCATCTAATTCCCATTCTCAGACATTTCAAGTTTTGAAAAACTTAAGCCATGACTAATTTTCATCAACCCTGACTGTTTTTCAAAGCGTAGATTTTTTTTTATCTTTTAGTATGATATAATTATATACATAAAGTGCTTTTCATTTCTTTGCAAATTTTGATAGTAATTTGTCCCACAAATGCTGCCAGTTTGTTTTGGAATTCATATAGCATACTTTCTAACATTTTTATAATAGATAATTCATCAATATTACTAAATAATCTCTTAATCATATCTGATATTAAAAATGATTCATAGATATGAAAAATAAATAAATTATTGTTATTACCAAATAATTCATCAAAAATGATACTAAATAATTTATATATCTAGACAATTGCTTGAGATAAATAGTCTGACATTATAATATCCAATACTATGTAATAATATATGAAATCATTTAAAGAAATTTTATATACGAATGGATGATTTATTAATATTATAAAGTTATTTTTTGTATTACCGATTTCTTCATCATTATTAAAATTCTATTAAAATCTGTACCTCGTGAAAGAATTTATATCAATTACCATATATGACCAAAAATGGACATTAGTATTTTAAACACAGGATATAGGAAACCAAAGTGAGTGGGTTTGACAGTAGCTGACAAATTTTAATTCTAATGAAAGAAAACAGTATTCTAACTATGAAATATGCAGCACAAATGGAAAGTCCATGTTTGATACATCTGTATACATATTCTGTTTAAACATTTACATTCCAAATGAGAGACAAGTCTTGCAACAAAACAGAAAAAAAGACAACAAGAGCGATGTTAGATATCAAAACTGATACCTAGAGAGTTCATGAGCACACAGACGAAGTTTCAATGCTAGGATTTGGGATGGTGTGATTGTTTTGTTCTTACCCTTTGGAGACAAATAAAATAAGAAAAAAAATATATCAGTGTCATTTATGGTGTAATAATTGTACACATTTATGAAACAATTATCAGTATGTTTCAATTAATTTCTCATTAAGTTGACACTAATTTGTCTTACCCTTTGAAGTCACATACAAGATACAATATGTGGTTATCTGTTGCAAATTTTGTGCATGAATCAATACATTTTAATAAGATGCAAATTAAGTTGTCTTCAATAACATTTCATTCTTTTGTTTCAATCATAACATTTGTTGGAGTAAGTAGATATAATAGAAAGCAGAAACATTTATAAAGTATTTTATGAAAACAAAACCTATCATAAGTAATAAATTTCTTTTTATTATTTTTTTTAGGTCAGTTATCAATTTCAACATGTTAAAAATAAAAGAAATGTTTCTGAAAGTGATTTTTTTCATTTTAATAGTTACCAATTCGTAGTCCTTTTTAGATGTGGCCATTATTGTTTTCACTCAAATAAATCATTTATAGAATTTAATTAACTGATTATAAAGAAAAAAGTAAATATGTAAATACATGATCTCTGGGGTTTTATTTCGATAAAGAGAAATGCAATATTCTGTAAGATTTTATAATATGCGTTACAGTTTATTGGAGGGCAGCAGCTGAGTATTTCTTTGTGGCAGTTCAAAGATTTATTTAGTAATTGTTTATCAAATTTTCTATCATATCTCTTTATTAATTATATTTTTCTCGGAGATTTGAAAATTAAAAAAAAATATTTCAAAGTTGAAGGTACTTCAAGTTACCGAGTGTACAACGTCAAGACAATGCATAAGAAGCAGCTTCATTCATTTATGCAAATGTAATACTAATTAGTTAATTTATCTAATTATAAGTGGTTAAAAATTAAACCATTAATAAAATTTGAATTTTTTAAACTCATATCCTCCCCCATTAAGAGTACTAAAAAAACAAAATTTTTAGAAAAACTTTTCAGAAAAATTGAGATTGTGTTATTCAAAATACTGAAAATGTACCTAATACTGTTTTCTTTTGGTTTGAATTAACCCATTAGAAATGTATTCTAACATGTAAAAATTATTTAATATTTACCTTATATTGCTGGGTTAGAAATGGACTCCCCCATTTTGTAACTGTATAGAGGGAGCGCTCTTTGTCCTTAAAAACAAATCAATTTTTAAGATTATTTATGTTAGGGGGGCCTAATCAGAAATTGTACTTCAGTATGTAAAACAGTATTTCTAGTCAATCATATAAACTTTGAAAACTCATAAATAATTATTTTAGGAAATCCTAATGTCAAAAGAACTTTTAAAAAGAAAAATAACCATGTATAGAATATTTTGTCTGGTTTGAACAAAATATTATAAATGATATTTGGAAACTTACACAATAAGAAAAAATGTCCTTTTTGTTTGAAAAACTGCCACAAAGATTTAATTTTATATATACATTTTTTTTTATCGCTAAATTTTTTTTTTTTTTTTTTATTTGCTGAAATTTGAATATCAATCTAAAAAACAAGGTCCTAAGTCTAACTATGGATAAATAACAGATAAATATAACATCCAATTTTACATAAAAAGGTAAAAATACTAATAAATGAAAAAAAAGGAATTATTCAGAATTTGTAAATATATAATGCAAAAATTTTCAAATTAAACAAAAACCGCAATTCTATACAAAATTAAAATTCAAGGAGATCAAATATGTGAAAAATACAAAACGTTTCAATTCCCTGTTCATCAAAAATCAAGAATGAATGTGAAAAAAATAACAGTATTGTACCACATTTTGACCATCAATTAACAAAGCATATATGCCTCTGTAAGGAAAGCATAGGTATTGTGATAATAATGTGAGCATCACCTGTACGGGTCTTTACGTTGCTGTGGTCGGTTTCCTAACATTTTGTCTAGTTCACACATTATGTCTGGAGTGAGTTTGGGAACATACTGAAATACAAGAGAAAAACAAACTCACTCTAATTCAACATTTTGATAAAGTCTGTATCTGAATCATTTGTATGTAATACCGTATAGTTGTTGAATATCGTGGGGCTTATATTTCATGGTTGTTCCAATTTGAGCTAGTTACCAGGTTTTAAATTTCATACAAGTTGATGAACTAGTGTCCATGAATACAGGCATGATAGATTTTCATTCACTGTAAAAATGTACCCAGAGTATATAATTAATGGTACCTTTATTAAATGTAAATATTCCAAAATAAAATTCCCACAAATATTACCAACTGTACAGTATCCTGCCACTCTCTACATGTAGCAAAATTAATAGTCATTTTGAATTTTAGTTCTATACAAGCTCACTAGAGTAACACAGAAAAATGGCAAGAATTGTTCACATGGTAAAAACTGATCTCTTCAGAAATGCCTGGTAAAATGAGTTCACTGATATAATGGATTAATAACACCTATACCCTGTTATCAGTATCTACAACATCCAAGCCCTTCACTAGTTCCAATATTACAATATGGATGTTGATTGCAATGTTTTCGTTTAATAACCATTTATGAATTATAAAGTCAATGACACTACTCTGTTCATCTGTGTATTTACACAGCTGGCCTGTTCACCTATACAATGCAACCATGTCCAATATACAATGAAACATAAATATAATAACATACGGTAATGCTGACTTCACACAACTTTCTTGTCAACGAGGAAAACTTCTAATTTGGCTCAACTTATGTCTGTATTATGTGAATGTTTTCAGATGTTTTTACGAGGATTATCTGCAGTTACAATTGAAACTCCTTGTCTCAAAACTGTTTGAGTCGAAATTCTGTTAGAGTCAAAATAATCTCCAAGTCCTGTTTTTATTCCTCCTCCATCTTTGTAATTTTATTTTGGATGACTCAAATTTCGTTGAAGTCAAAGTAATTTTTCGGTCCCTTCAATTTGCATAGCAAGTGAAAAGTCTTTTGTTGTCTCCTTGTCAAAACATCAATATCTCTTCTAAAGAGATTGATCAATACACATACATAATCGAAAGTCACACATAGCTAAATATACAGCATAGTGTGGTATATGTAACAGCCCTTACAAACAAAACGTTGATTTTCATTGTTTGAAGCATGCAGTACTGTGCTATTGTACACCATGCTTCATTCAACAGTGATTAATAAAACTGAAGTTGTCTAACTTATTCGAACACTTTGTGTCGAAATTCAGATAAGTAGAAATATTTTTGATGGGTGCTTGAATTTCGAGATAATGAGTTTCCACTGTAAGTGATCAATAGAATCTTACATTTGTGTCAATGTCAGATGAATTTTTCAGACAATAAACTGACCAACTATATATTATAAGCTTATGTCATATCAATGCATTGAACTTGTTTCATTCTATATCATATATAGTCACTTCATCCACGATACTCCAGTGGTTACAGTCACGATCACTCTCTGCACCCCTTTAACATACCATGGCAAAAAGCATGAAGCTTCCATATGCGATACCATGTGGATAAGATGAGAAGACTAGTTTGATGTACACTATGCTTGTGCCTTTGGTTTTGCCATGAAATGTGTGAGGGATGAAGAGAGCGATAGTGAGCGTAACTCCTGTAGTATCAAGAAAGTAGCCATTCCTGTAGGATTCTCTGTTGGTTAGATACTGTGCCAACACATACATACCTGTATAGCCTGAATATTTTCATAAAGCTGGTCAACTGAGGAAGCCCCAAGGAGTACACAGTGTACATTGTCATTCTTCAAACCCCATGCTACAAACAGAAACAACAAACCTTTTATCAGTCATAGAGCAACAGCCTTCCTTGTCAAATCTTACTGGAATATCATAATTGGACAGATAATTTTTTTAAAACATTTTTTTTTCTTTATTTTCCATCCATTTTATAATCTCTCAAATGATGCTTGTTCTCTTATACACTGAGTAATCAGACAACTATTGATAGCTCGACTCAAAATCTTCTTGCTTAAAGTTTGCGACCAAAACCAATTTACAAAAGTTTGACTATGATAAGAAGTTAAACAACAGTTTTTACAGCCTTGAAGTCTGCAAGTCCAATGACAACAGTGATACTACTGACAATGGTCCTGTCAATGGAGCTCAAACCAGACCAGGGTTGCAGTGTCAATACCAGACTTACCTATCGCTAACTGTGATAACGAACATCCTATTCTGTCGGCTATGATAGCCACCTCTCGTAGTTTGGCTTGTTGCCGTCGTCCATCTTCAGATAAAATTTTCTCTTTCAACCAAACATAACCCTGCAATAAATTGAAGAAACTAGAAAATGTCTGTAAGGCTATCTATGACTCTTAATATGTGATCACCTTAGTATGAAATAAATTGATAATTATCTGTTGTGTACAAATGGAGTTACTTCCCCTTTGACAGCAAATGATATAATAATCTCACTGACCAGATTTACTGTACAACAAGGTATATATAGATACCTACCTTCAGAGCTGCCCTAGAGTATATAGGAACACCATCGTCATACTTCCCTGTCAGTACACCGCCTGCTAAAGGCGACCACGTTATTGTTCCTATACCTGTGAAACATATTTTCAACATTATGTCAACAACCAACAGCTGCTACAATAAAGCAGAACCCTGGAGTCATGTGCTGTTTGTGTTTTTATGGATTATTGATTATATTAACATATTTTACATATCTTGTAGAAGCGAAAGCTATTTTTAAATCTGACTTTTCAATTAAGGTGTTATGTGACATTTCCAATGATAAAGTTTTATATTTCCATCAGTATGGAAATAAAAATATTATTGAATATTGTATTTTATCTATTCCTTCTTATGTTGATAGATAAAAAAGGATTCATCAAACATATTTCAATGAAAATCAATTCTTGTATATATATAACAAAAACGAACTACCTATATGTGAATACTAACATAGAAACCTAAGGGAAGACACTTAGTTGGAAAGCATCACATTGAGACACAGGAAAGAGACTTTTGTGTTTCAGATTACAATGAGTTATGCAATAAAGATACTGTTACTGCTATATATACACAATGTCTTACCTATTTTATGGTAAAGTTCTGGCATGTGAAGTTCCACTTTCTCTCTGTGGAATAAATGATACTCTGCTTGTTCAGCAACGGGTGGAATAAGATTGAATTGTCTTGCCACTGAGTGTGCTTCCTGTCATGAAAAAGCAGTTGTGAAAAAACTTGAAGTATGGATTTACAAGTGACAGACTGTTGTTTATAGAGCCATAGAGACAAAAATTATATATATATTTGCCCTCTGAAACAGATTAAAAGTCTGCAATTTTACACAGCATGTGCTGCATTATTGAATAGATGCATAAAAAAGTTATTGTACATGTATATTTCGAAAGTGAAATATCTAAGCTAAAATCAGTCTAACACCGACATAAATACTGACCATGATTTCTGTGGCACTCCATCGTGATGACCCCCAGTACATAGCCCAGCCCTGGTTTATCACATGGGTGAATGCTCGTACCACCTCTGTAATGTAAAACAAGAAATGTCAACAGTACAAAACATTGTCAGATATCTGGGTTGACATGTCAATAGTACAAAATATTGTCAGATACCTGGGTTGACATGTCAAAAGTACAATGCATTGTCAGATACCTGGGTTGACATGTCAAAAGTACAATGCATTGTCAGATACCTGGGTTGACATGTCAAAAGTACAATGCATTGTCAGATACCTGGGTTGACATGTCAACAGTGCAAAACATTTTCATGAACCTGGTAAGATATGTCAACAGTACAAAATATTTTCAAAAACCTGGAAAGACATGTCAACAGTGCAAAACATTGTTGGGAACCTAGGATGACATGTCAACAGTACATAACATTGTTATGAACCCAATAATAAAATTTACCTTCCATAGGAGTGTGAGGGTCAGGTTTGTTGGCAAACACAATGTCAACATACTCTAGCTGTAAACGTTCTAGTGAGCCTCTCAGACCTGTAAAGGGAGATAACTGAGGTATAAAGGGAGAATCATTGTTGTGATGGACAGAGGTATGAGACCAGATAAAAACACATAGAAAGACCATTGTGGAATTTTTTTCTGTGTTTTAATTCATTTTTCTTTCCATTAGCTTTTCTCAGAAATGAGACGATAATGTTTTATACGTAAAATACGAATTGATTTTGGTATTACATGTAAACTTACCTTCTATGATATGCTTTCTTGAAAGACCTTTTTCTGTCTCGGCTCTACAAATAAATATAAATACCAACTGCATTATCTAGAGCTGTTATCCTGAGGATAAATACAACCCTCCACTCCCTACAGATACAAAGACCTCCATAAATCAAATTTTGTCAAAACTCCATGTTATTATTGCCCTTCTCCCTCCAATCTCATCAACAGAAAGCAAATATACTATTTCTGTTAGGTGTGTTAATGACCTTGTCAAACTCGTCCCAATTCAACACCACACAGGGACTTTAAGGGTCGATTATGCTATTAAAGTTTTTCTGAAGAGAATTTCATAAACTTTCTTCTAAAATTCACCTTTTTTGTACCACAAATATTTTTAAGTTCATTAAATTGTTTTATTTGAAATATTTCAATTTACGAGAAGGGTATTGCCATAAAAAGATTTTACTTATTAAGAAAACATTTCTCTTTTCTTTGGTATCTTTTTAGATAAACACTGATAAAATATGGCACTCATTGTACTTACTTTCCGCCCCAATATATTTTTGTTGAGATGATGTAGCTTGATCGCCTGTGATTGAAAAAAAAGGAAGTTTTGGAATAACTACAAAAATTTATTGTAACGACATACATTGTATAACATTTTGTTTCGTATCTTTCACAAGTGTTTTACAAAACTGTCTCTTTAAACTGACTCTCTAGCAGAAGAAAAATGAGAACACATTATCTTGAGCTTTGATATAAATGACATTGCATCTTAAAGTATATTTTGATCACAATGGCATTTTGTACAAATACATGTTATTGTATTATAAATGGGAATATGCAGCCAAAATTTGCTACCGATGGAATACAATATCATTAAATCATTCTTGAATAAAACTTTATCATAGCGACACATAAAAGATAATAGTGTAAACATATAGATTTTACTGAAATCTTATTTCAGCCCTCTAGCATAGAAAATAGTGTGCTTAAGATATGACAGCAGTTTCTGAATGCTATCTACATTTACACATGTAGTGCAGTATCATTATGTTATATATTCTATGACCATAAATGCTGTAAGGGATAGTTTTATGTGGAAAATTTTAATTTTCAAAAGGCAAAGAACAACAAAATATCCCATAGTCATAATATGCTGGTGGTTTCAAAACAAAAGAATCACATTCTGTTTACCTCCATGTCTTTTTCTTTAGAAGTTTCCCAAGTAAAATCTCTGCCCTGAAACATAGAGAGACTAAAATTACACATCAGATGTATCAAATAACTTGCGATTCTACCACTGTATTCTGTAAAGATTGGCTGAGGTTAAGTAAGATCTGAAAAGAATGGAAAATATTACTTTTTGTGCAACCTGATCAAGGATTTTATTTTTAATCCTCAATAAACTTTATCATGTCATACAGGGGCAAAGCTAAAGTCAGGATATTTGGTAATCATATTATATATTAGCTTATGGATTTGAAGATTTCATTCCCCAAAATAAGATGCAGGATTCATCACCTCCATTATTCACTAAACTCATATTATGAACAGTAACATCAAATTATATTGACAGGTGCTCTTTTTAGCTTTTTTAGCTTCAATGGTCACGGTAATCTTGACAATCACTTAGTTTTAATCCTGAAATGACACTGCCCACTTATCTCTGTTAGGGTAAAACTTTATCGTATTGCAGCAAATCAACCTATGTGGCAATCTGTATCATGACTTTAAAAAGATATATTAGCTTCAATGGTAAATATAGGATATAATCAGTAATTTTTGTACAATTTTTTAAAGGCGAGTCAATAAAACCATTTTCAAAATTTTGATAGTCCAGTAAAACAGAGATAAAATGGGTTTTCAAGACTTGAGCGAGACCCACAGGAAAAACATTAGTCCTTGGACTCAAATATTTGAGTCCTAAAAATCACTGTTTTAATATGCAATTCAATACAAAGAGCTCCCCCAGAGGGTCAAAGATCAAAGTGTTCACCTGATCATTGTTACCAGTCAAAGATCAAAGTGTTCACCTGATCATTGTTACCAGTCAAAGATCAAAGTGTTCACCTGATCATTGTTACCAGTCAAAGATCAAAGTGTTCACCCGATCATTATGTTACCTGTAGAAGTCAAAGTGTTCACCTGATCATTATGTTACCAGTGGAAATCAGAGATCAAAGTGTTCACCTGATCATTGTTACCAGTCAAAGATCAAAGTGTTCACCTGATCATTGTTACCAGTCAAAGATCAAAGTGTTCACCCGATCATTATGTTACCTGTAGAAGTCAAAGTGTTCACCTGATCATTATGTTACCTGTAGAAGTCAAAGTGTTCACCTGATCATTATGTTACCAGTGGAAGTCAGAGATCAAAGTGTTCACCTGATCATTATGTTACCAGTGGAAGTCAAAGTGTTCACCTGATCATTGTTACCAGTGGAAATCAGAGATCAAAGTGTTCACCTGATCATTATGTTACCTGTAGAAGTCAAAGTGTTCACCTGATCATTATGTTACCAGTGGAAGTCAGAGATCAAAGTGTTCACCTGATCATTGTTACCAGTCAAAGATCAAAGTGTTCACCCGATCATTATGTTACCTGTAGAAGTCAAAGTGTTCACCTGATCATTATGTTACCTGTAGAAGTCAAAGTGTTCACCTGATCATTATGTTCACCTGATCATTATGTTACCAGTAGAAGTCAGAGATCAAAGTGTTCACCTGATCATTGTTACCAGTCAAAGATCAAAGTGTTCACCCGATCATTATGTTACCTGTAGAAGTCAAAGTGTTCACCTGATCATTATGTTATCGTAATATGTGGAGGCAGTTCTGGTATTGATTATATTACCATAAAAAACTATGAATAAATAAAAAGGATTAATGACTCCAGTAAATCAATATAAACACTTGTTTTATTTTTCTTATAGAATTACACTTATTCTAGAAGAAAAAAACAGACTCAGTAAAATGAATAACTTTACTCTCATTTAAATGACAATTGACCTTTCAATACCGTTTGATGGCCCTAATGACCTTTTTTGTGCTGACAGGCCTTTTAAGAATGTAATAATAATAATAATAATTGACTTTTTAACCCTGACAAATGGCCACATCAATATCATGAGATGTAAAACTTGATGTTGTGACACTTATGCATTGATATAAATTAAATATGTTGAAATAATCTGAAATAAGACAGGTTAAGACCATAATAATATATGTATCACTGTATTACTCTCCCCTTCCCCCCATCCCTACCCCCACCGCCTACAATAAACCTATACAATGACTGTGGCATAATATAGTAGCTAAGTTTCCACCTCACATAATTAGAATTCTGTACCCCAAATTATCAAAATGGACATGAAATAAACAATTTTAAAGTATAAGTATTTGGTGTAGTTTTACATAGTTCATACAGACTTTACCTCTTCTAAACAACTAGGTGTGAAGAACTTGTGCTCAGTGATGATTTATAGTGCCATCACACTGAAATGTCACCACCTGAACAAAGTAGTAGTAGTTACATCTCAGCATGTGAAAGAAACATTAGAATGTTGTTAGAGTAGTTTATTTCGACCTAGACATGTTTACTCTAAATTACTGTAACCCTGGTGAAATACAGAAAACTTTTCTTTATCTGGATCAATTGAGCATCGGACTAGCACACAAGCCAGAAGTCCTAGGTGTGAAGCAGAGGCAATGAAATAAAATAATGGCCTTTGTTACAGGTATATCAAGTTTATAATGTATCAGCCCAACCACATCTACACAAATTTTATTTCCAGAATTATTAATGCCTGCTTTCTTAATTCATTATCAAATTTGTTGATCAATAAACCAATATGTCCATATAAGGCTGAATCCTTTAAAAATGCATAGAAGTCCTTATCAAGGCTTATTGGAGGACATAATAATGTTACCATAGTAAACAGTGGTATATCTAGACACGGAAACATCAAATTGTGAGCTTTACTGACTACCAGCATCTGAATAATCACAGGTCTGCTGTACTTACAAGTACTTACGATTCCAGCATGATATACAACATTTGCAGGGTGTGTAACAAGCATGGATGAGGGTCTGATGGTTAGAGAGAGTAATGGCAGGTTAAATTCCTCAGTAATCCTACAAATGTATTGAGGACAAACCTGTACCATAGTGTACCACAGTAAACCTACAAATGTATTGAGGACAAATCTGTACCATAGTGTACCACAGTAAACCTACAAATGTATTGAGGACAAATCTGTACCATAGTGTACCACAGTAATCCTACAAATGTATTGAGGACAAATCTGTACCATAGTGTACCACAGTAAACCTACAAATGTATTGAGGACAAATCTGTACCATAGTGTACCACAGTAAACCTACAAATGTATTGAGGACAAATCTGTACCATAGTGTACCACAGTAAACCTACAAATGTTTGAGGACAAATCTGTACCATAGTGTACCACAGTAAATAGTGTACCACAGTAAACCTACAAATGTGTTGGAGGACAAACTGTACCATACCTGTACCATAGTGTACCACAGTAAACCTACAAATGTGTTGAGGACAAACCTACTGTACCATAGTGTACCACAGTAAACCTACAAATGTGTTGAGGACAAATCTGTACCATAGTGTACCACAGTAAACCTACAAATGTACATAGTGTACCACAGTAAACCTACAAATGTGTTGAGAACAAACCTGTACCATAGTGTACCACAGTAAACCTACAAATGTGTTGAGGACAAATCTGTACCATAGTGTACCACAGTAAACCTACAAATGTGTTGAGAACAAACCTGTACCATAGTGTACCACAGTAAACCTACAAATGTGTTGAGGACAAATCTGTACCATAGTGTACCACAGTAAACCTACAAATGTGTTGAGAACAAACCTGTACCATAGTGTACCACAGTAAACCTACAAATGTGTTGAGGACAAATCTGTACCATAGTGTACCACAGTAAACCTACAAATGTATTGAGAACAAACCTGTACCATAGTGTACCACAGTAAACCTACAAATGTGTTGAGAACAAACCTGTACCATAGTGTACCACAGTAAACCTACAAATGTGTTGAGAACAAATCTGTACCATAGTGTACCACAGTAAACCTACAAATGTGTTGAGAACAAATCTGTACCATAGTGTACCACAGTAAACCTACAAATGTGTTGAGGACAAATCTGTACCATAGTGTACCACAGTAAACCTACAAATGTGTTGAGGACAAATCTGTACCATAGTGTACCACAGTAAACCTACAAATGTATTGAGGACAAATCTGTACCATAGTGTACCACAGTAAACCTACAAATGTATTGAGGACAAATCTGTACCATAGTGTACCACAGTAAACCTACAAATGTATTGAGGACAAATAAACCTACTGTACCATAGTGTACCACAGTAAACCTACAAATGTATTGAGGACAAATCTGTACCATAGTGTACCACAGTAAACCTACAAATGTATTGAGGACAAATCTGTACCATAGTGTACCACAGTAAACCTACAAATGTGTTGAGAACAAACCTGTACCATAGTGTACCACAGTAAACCTACAAATGTGTTGAGAACAAACCTGTACCATAGTGTACCACAGTAAACCTACAAATGTATTGAGGACAAATCTGTACCATAGTGTACCACAGTAAACCTACAAATGTATTGAGGACAAATCTGTACCATAGTGTACCACAGTAAACCTACAAATGTGTTGAGGACAAATCTGTACCATAGTGTACCACAGTAAACCTACAAATGTATTGAGAACAAATCTGTACCATAGTGTACCACAGTAAACCTACAAATGTATTGAGGACAAATCTGTACCATAGTGTACCACACTAAACCTACAAATGTATTGAGGACAAATCTGTACCATAGTGTACCACAGTAAACCTACAAATGTATTGAGGGCAAATCTGTACCATAGCGTACCACAGTAAACCTACAAATGTGTTGAGGACAAATCACCATCTGTTATGTATATGCCATATGTAATCTCATTCTTACTCAGAACAGGAAGTTCATTTAAGAAATCAGAAAGAAAATCATGCCCGTGGGACTTTGTTACTTGGAATTTCCAACCGGTAGAAATTGTGGTATTGATTTAGCATTATATTTCCTGGTCAGGCAATATTTGCCCAGAGACTAATACTGCCTCTGACCTTATCATGTGCTAGTGAAAACAATATCATGACAAATATATAGCATGCGTGAT